GGCACACACCGCGACACCTCAATACTCGGCCACACCGATAAAACTGGCTCACTGACTAAAACTCTACTACAAGATGTCTGCTGCTTTGCTTTGCAGCACGCAGTCAACTGCTACAGCATACAAATGCGCATCATTTGCGCGCACCGATCATTCGAGGGCTCTCCCATTTTCTACACCTCTAGAACAACTTATGCCATCTGCTATCACTAACATGAGACTTTACACATTCATATAATCAATGGTACCGACCATCGTTAAATGTCATTTCTCTATTTTTTTTTTCCTTTATCGATTAATTTCAAAAATAAAAAATGCAATGTCAAATAAAATTGAAAATAAAACTGAAATTGAAATAAAATTCAAGTCATTGTGACTAAATGTGATGGTGAAAGGAGTTTTTTTTATTCTCTGTAAGACTGGTTGCATTTCTTATTTTCTTGCAGTGCTGCCAATTTTTTTCGGGGAATTACTTGCTGAATCAAGGGAAAGTACTGATTCTATAACTTATTTTCTTTTTTATTCAGGTTAAGTTGACGATAATTTTTAACTTCTTTTTCAAAAATTTAAATTATAAAATGATATAATTTCAATTTTTTTTTTTTTATTTTGTCAATATTTCTCGACGAGACGCTTGCTTTTCACCGAACGGTCAATACGTCGAACAGACAAAATGTCGATAAGCCATAACCTCGAAAAGCCAAGACGTCGAACGGTCAAAATGTCGAAAAAACAAGACGTCGAACAGTCAATACATCGAACGGACAAAATATCGATAAGCCAAAATATCGAAATGCCAAAACATCGAACAGCCAATACGTCGAATGGACAAAATGTCGAAAAATTTTATTGACTGAAGTATAATTATAGTTAAGTCAATAAAATTTTTCGACATTTTGTCCATTCGACGTATTGGCTGTTCGATGTTTTGGCTTTTCGATATTTTGTCCGTTCGATGTATTGACTGTTCGACGTCTTAGCTTTTCGACATTTTGACCGTTCGACGTATTGGCTTTTCGATATTTTGTCTGTTCGACGTCTTGGCTTTTCGACATTTTGTCAGTTCAGTTTCAGTTTTTTTTTTGAAGTCATGTTCTTGATAATTAATAATTTATTTATAAATCATAGTATTTAAAAAGTTTTTAATGAAGAAACCCTCTTGATTATATGTCTCAAGAGGCCTACCGTCGGCAGGCGAAAGCTAATAAATAAAACAAATTATAATAAATGGATTTAAAAAAAAAAAACAAATTAAATAACTCACTACTATTTAATTATCCAAACAAATTAACAACCTAATAACAAATTTATGTTAGTTATAGAAAATTAAGGTCAAAATTCAAAAATTTTGAAAAACGAAATTCACTACTGGAAAGAGCATAAAAAAAACCTTCAAAAAACATACCTGCCAAAATTTTTTTTATTGCATTTATAGACAGAAAAAATTCAAATAGTAGGCGGTGTCAGGGAAAACTGATAAAATTGACCAAAAAAAAAAAAAAAAAATTTTTTTATAATAAAAAATCAAAAAATTCTCCCCCAAAATTTTAAAAAAGTCAAAAATTTTTTTGGGGATATTTTACTATCATGTAGGACAACAATTTCCCCAAGTTTCACTTTTTTCGAGAAATCCAATTTGTGACGCGATCTGAAAAAAGGGACCTTAGAAGCAAAAAATTATTGGTTACGTTTGGAAATTTTAAAGTGAAAATACACAAAAACGTTGAACTCGTAATGCAAATTAATGATATTTAGGTCTTCATCTATATTAATAAAATCAGACTTTTGTCTGTACATTGCTCCAAATTAATTTTTTCTTGCATAGTTTATCATTTTAAGTAGTAAAGATAACAAATATGCCATAAATAAAAATTCTGTCTGTCTGTCTGTCTATCTATCTGTCTGTCTGTCTGTCGTCAATATTTTGTACCGGCACAACTTTAAAACGGCTCAACCGATTAAGGTAAAACTTGGCAGCGTATTCAGTCTTAACGTAACTTAAAATCTTAGCCATATTTGATTAAAAAATATTAACATTAACGAAAGTTATGACATTTTTTCAAAAAATTTAAAAAAATCAAAAAAATGCAATTTTTTTATTTTTTGACAGATTGATTTGAAACTATTTGTACCTAATTTTTTCACATAAATACAATCAATTTTTTTATTAAATTAAGTAAATAGTCTGAATTTAAAAGTCTAAATCAAATTTTTGAATTTCCAATTTTTTTAACAACATTGTAATATAAGAATTCGTTATGTTCAACTTTTTATAAGTAAAACAATAATGTTTTTAGTCTGTTGGGTATTAAACGCAATCTTAGCTGCACACCAATGAAAAATATTAATTTAAACAAAAATATGACACTTTCAAAAAATTTAACATTTTTTATTTTTTGATAATTCTTTACTAAACGTTCTTTATTTAAAATTTTGTGACCAATTAAGTATGCTTTTAACAAGAAATTTTAAGAATTTTATCAGAATTTTAAAATTAATAATTGCAAATCTGAATATGAAATCAGATATTGTAAAAATAAAAAATCGAAAATTACTTTTTTACTCTTTGAAATTAGATCCAATTGGATGTAATTATAAATTTCAAAATTTATTAAATCTAAATATTATAACCGTCGAAGACGGGTGCGACAGCTAGTTAATAATAAAATCACAAAACAAAATTAAATAATAAAATTTATAGGACTTACATTGATATCTATAGAAATATGTTTCCTTGTAGATTTAACAAATCTGTCAGAAATGTGACCGTTTGCCTTCGCATGCGATATAAACGAAGATTGTCGAAGTTTCCGAGTTATTTCCGCGAAATTCAAAATCTCTAAGTACATAAAGTTTGAATGATTTTTCATTTATTGGGTAAAACATGCAAAATTAAAAAAAAACTTTTAAATTAAATTTTTAGATCTTATTGAAATACATTTCTTATATCCCATGCACTTTTTGAAAAATTTTTTTTTTTATTTTACTGAATTAACGAAAAAAACCAAAAAATTTAGAACTTTTTTATGGATTTCACCTTAAAAATTAAATTTGACGGTATTGTCACCATGGTTTTCGTAATCAATGCTTAAAAATACATAAAATTACGTAGTATAAAAAAAAATTGTTTTTGCAACACTAACCTCTAAAGTTGAATTTTACACACGAAAAACTGTGCGTAAACTACCATCTTTTTAACAGTGTGTAAAATATTTTCGGGGCGGATGATTATCGCATAAAAATTATTAACAAATTTTTTTTAAATAGAATTATTTTTCAGACGAAGTTTTATTTTTCGAATTAACATTTGACGGAATTTTGTTTTAAGGGTATGTGGGAACCTCCCACGTGACCTAGTATGGGAAAATGTGTTTTGGTAGTATACATTTCACTCTAAAATGAGAAAAGATTTTTGTCTAAAATTTTGAGGGATTATAGATTAGGGTTCAAAGAATCTCGCTGTCCTCCAAAAAATACATAATTTTGCGTTAAATTATTAAAAAATTAAGTTTAAAAAGTGGCATTTTTAAACGAAAATGAAAAGAAACATGGCGGCGCATACACAGATGTTGCTTGAGTGTGTCAGTGCTCCAGTAAACAGCGCCAATTCGAGCGAGTGGCCGCTGAATGAACTATGACAAAATATATTATTTTACTATTTATTGCTTTATTTTTATTATTTTCGCGTTAAGTTATAGTAAATGAGAAGAATAGCGAGATTTCTTGTACCAAACTAAATCATTTTTCCAAAATTTTAACCCGAAATCATTTTTTATTTCAGAGAAAGTTTCAAACCACAAAAAAACGTCCTTTGCCCACATACCCTTAAAACAAATTTTTACTAAACATAATTCTTATGTGTCAAATTTTTATTAAACAGAATTCTTAAAACACCGAATTTTACATTTGCCTGAAATTGAAAATGGCCGAACAAACAATCGACAGAAAGATTTCGGCGCGATATGTTTAGAATTCACCAATCAAAAGTTGTTTGTTCAACCATATGTAATTTTGGACAAATAAAAATTCGATACCTAAAAATTCTGTTAATTAAAAATTCTTGAAAAAAAAATTTTTTGACAAATGTTGATTCGAAAAATGAAAATTCGTCTAAAAAATAATTATATCTAATAAAATTGTTGAAAATGAAAATTCTAACTAATGATTTTTATGGGATAATCGATTTTCAAGATAGTTTAATTAAAAGAAACTTTGAGGTTAGGAGTTCATACTACGAAATTGATAAAATTGTATAAGAAGAAAAGAATATAAATATTGTATGTCAATAGTTTTAATCAATTGTAAATTCGAACCAATCAAAATTCGGCTAAAAAAAAAATTCTTTCTAATATTCTTTTTGCTAAAAATAATTTTGTAAATTAAAATATTACTACGGTTTTGAAAAAAAAGATTAATATAATAATTAATTAATATAATTAATATATTAATAATATTGTTGCCCACTCTACCCTATTTGAAAAATGAATTTAATAAAATTCTTATTTTATCACACTTTTTGCTAACATTGTGAAAGAAATTTTTTTTTTTTTAAATAAATTTACGTATAATATAATGTATAATACGATTTGAGTATTATTAATAAATAATGAAATAATAAAAAGTAATTTTCACACTTCGCCTTTTTTTTTTTTGCAAAATTCATGAGATTTAAATTGACAGATTGACAGGGACTTTTTTCTTAATAATATAGGCATCATATCATCTTTCAAAGAAAAAAAAAAAAAAAGATATTTTTAAAAAACCATGTAATTTATAACACGTACAGGTACGATTTGATTATTATTAATAAATTATGAGACAATACAAAGAAATATTCACAGTACCGGCTACGCTTTTTTCCTATATATAAAATTTATGAACTGTAAATTGACTGAGGAAATTTTATTAATAATATAGGCATATCATATCATCGAGATTTGTCTATTATTAATATTAAAGGTAAAAAAGATCTATAGAATGCGCGCTTAAACAACGATAAAACTCAGAGGGTGATAATATAGTTTTTTATGTACATTGCAATGGTAGAAGTTTTTGAAATTCGTTACTATCAAATAAATAAATTTCTTTTGTCTTTGATTGGACAATGGCCATTTCAATCGACCATCAAAGCTCGCATATTTTTTTTTATTATGCTAATATTTGTATTATCTCAACTATTTCTACAGGTCACTTTATATAATATTCATTTTTAAAATAATCTAATTTTTTTCAACGAGAAAAAAAAATGATAATTTCTAAGAAAAAAAAAACTTCAGTGAAGTTCACATAACGTTTATAAGATTAATGATAAAGAATGAAAAATATTTTTTACGCGTAAAATAAAATTTTTCTTTTTTTTTCATATATAGAGAAACGTTGCATAAATTTTTTCAAAAAAATTATAATAATTTGCATAGAAAAATATTTTTGCTTTTAAAACGTTGATCATAAACATTAACTTCACCGATGTAAAAAATTTTATAAAAAGTTAATGTTTTCAATAATTGGAAGTTACAGTTTGATAAAATTGCAAAATATATTTACTATATAGGTTACTTCAACTTATTGTTACTGGCCAGATATGGATATGTTTATTGAAAGTGGTTCGCCTATTCTTATTGCTGGAATATGTGCAGCAAAAATAAGTAACTTTATTATAAACTCGAGAAAGGTAAGTATTTTTTTAAAACTATAAGATTAATTACACTTAGTAACAAAAAAATCGTCATGTTTTGTTTATTTTAAAATTCATGTGTTTATTGAATATTTGGGTTTCAATGAACCAATGAATCAGTAACCCAAAAAACCTCTAAGTGACTAGTTTCAAGCAAATACGATTATGGAGAATCGCTTTCTACCTTTGCATACATTCCCAAAGATTTGAACAATTATATGTTAGGGGCTATGTGTTAAATACAGGTTCCCTGCAATTATTGCATGACATTTTAGTTTTGAGTCTTAAAGTTGAAGGTTTCAGCTTTCTTTTGAGCCCTATTAAAGCTTTGTACGTTTTTACGTTTTCCTTTTATAGTACTTCAAAAAAACCCACATTTTCAAGGAACTGAACAAATTAAATTTTTTTTTGTATTTTCTTGTTACTTGATACCTAAATATATTCAATAAACACAGGAATTTTGAAATAGACACAACATGACCATTTTTTTGTTACCCAGTGTAATAATTTTATGAAACTAAAAATTATTAACCATCATTTTAGATGAAAAAACTTTTACTAAAAATGCAAAGCCATTGGATGTCTTTAAATGACAGTTCTGAAATTGAAATTCTGAAGAATTACACAATTGCGAGTCATAAAATGACATTACTTTATATGAGTAAGACGACATTCGAAAATATAAATTTTTTTTCGCCATTGACATTCCTTTCAGGAAGAGTGCTAAAAATTAAAAAATTAATAAAAATTTATTTTTAGGAATTGTGTATTCTGCTTTAACAGTTTTTATGATAGTACCCACACTTCAGTCAATTGCTGAAAACGTTTTACCAGGACGAAATCAAACATATCCTTTACCATTTCCTATTGACAATATTGTTAATGTGGAGAAATATCATAAAATTTTGTTAATTCATTCTTTCATTAGCACATATTATTTTATAACTGTTTATATATCGGCTGATACAATGTTCTTAACTTATGCAACACATGGCTGCGGAATGTTTGCAGTGTTAGGGTAATGAATTTCATTTCAAATTTTATTTTATTTAACATTAAAAAATTCTTCTGTTACAATCACTGAAAAACAAATTATTTCATTCAAATAATTGGTTACTTGATCATATATTATCAAATAAATATTATACTTGAAGCAAATAATTTTTATTTAAATTAAATAAATTGTAATGAAACCAATAACTTCTGTATTTAAAACAAATACTATTTAATTGAATCAAATAAATATTATTTGGTTCATGTATGTATTTATTTGATAATAGTCAAGTAAGCGATTATTTGAATGAAATAAATTTTTTTATCAGTGTATATATTTGAATGATTTCCCGTGTGAAGTGATTAAGGTGAAAAAACAAACGCGTTTATGTTTAGGTAATTTTTTTAGTTAAGGGTATGTGGGCAAAGGACGTTTTTTTGTGGTTTGAAACTTTCTCTGAAATAAAAAATGATTTCGGCTTAAAATTTTGGAAAAATGATTTTGTTTGGTACAAGGAATCTCGCTGTTCTACTCATTTGATATAACTTAATGCAAACATAATAAAAATAAGCAATAAATAGTAAAATGATGTATTTATTCGTAGTTACTTCAGTGGCCACTTGCTCGAATTGGCGCTGTTTACTGGAGCACTAAACAGTCAAGCAACGTCTGTGTATGCGCCGCCATCTTTGTTTTCATTTTCGTTTAAAAATAAAACTTTTTAAACATCATTTTTTAATAATTTAACTCAAAATTATGTATTTTTCGGAGAACAGCGAGATTCCTTGTACCCTAATCAATCATCCCTCAAAATTTTAGACAAAAATCTTTCCTCATTTTAGAGTGAAATGTATACTACCAAAAACACATTTTCCCATACTAGGTCACGTGGGAGGTTCCCACATACCTTTAAATAATGAAATAAAAAAAAAAATTTTGATATTAGTTTAGAAAGAAAACTTTTTTAACGCCCTTTAGTTTGTTAAAATGCCTTTTTGGAAAAAAAATTTTGACCCAAAAAATTTAAAATGAAAAATAAATTTGCTTGGGGCGCATAATTATTCTAGAAAAATCATTAATTAGAATTTTCATTTTTAAAAAATTTTATTAATAATAATTATTTTTTAGACAAATTTTCAATTTTCGAATTATAATTTGACAGATTTTCTTTATATACGAAGTTTTACTTAAAAAAATGTTTAGCTATCGAATTTTTGTTTGTCAGAATTTTTATTTTAGTAATTTTCTTTTAGATGATTTTTTATTTAAAAGAATTTTAATTTATCTAAATTCTCATGCAATTGAATTTTTAAATAACAGAAATTCCAATTTACCGAATTTTAATTTGTCTGAATTTTTATTCTTACAAATTTTTAAGTGATAGAATTTTGAAGACACCGAATTTTTATTTATCCTAAATTACTAATGTCCGAACAAACAATCCACAGAAAGATTTCGGCGCAATTTTTAAAATTGACCAAACATGATTTTCTTGTCAATTTCTAATTGGTTAATTTTAAAAATTGCGCCGAAATATTTATCTCGATTATTTGTTCGGACATTAGTAGTTTCGAACAAATGAAAATTCGGCGTCTTAAAAATTCGTATAAATAAAAATTTAGACGAATTAAAATTCGGTGAATTAGTATTTCTGTCATTTAAAAATTTGAATCACATAAAATTCGATTCAATGAGAATTTTGTTAAATTGTAATTCACTTTAATCCCTTAAATGCTGATGACGATAATTTTAACCGTCAAATCTTCGTTATTGCAGTTAAGGGTTTAATTAAAATTTGTTTAAATAAAATACTTATTATTTAAGGTAATTGAATGGTATTTGTTTAAATACAAAAATTTTGGTTCAAGTAATAGTCTAAGATCCCGCTGCAAGATTTCTACACTCATCTCTTTTATGGATGAAATTGATTTGAAATGAAAGATTTTTTTATCCTGTTTCCGAAACGCATAGGGTGCCTAACCTTTTATGGTCCATTTTTTTGATACAATAAAAATTTCTGTGAAAATTTGTTGAAATGTTTCACTCATAAGTTTTATGAATGAAACTTGTATTAATGGAAAGAACATGAAAAAAATAAGAAATAAATGATAGGTTGCCTCATTTCCAATGGTCTCGTTTCCTGGCAGCCACTTAAAAATTTCCCACTTTCTGTTGAAATATTTCATTTATAACTTTTATGAAAAAATCCACCACCAATGTAAAGATTGATCATTTTTCTACACGATAAGAGTAGGTTGCCTAAAAGAATATGGTCCAGAAAATTAGTTGCCACATATGAAAAATTAAAAAATTTATTTGAAAGGTGAGAAAAACCGCGCAACTAGATGACACGAACGCTGTTGTTTTGTTTCTTTGACGTATATAAATAATAAAATAATTCGTTGACAATTCATGAAATGATTACCGAAAATATTAATCAGCAATTACCACTTTTAAATAAAATTTAATAATTATAAATTTAATATGTCTTTGCATTTAGTAATATGCAAGACTTTTTAAAATAATTACAAACGACAATATATGGATTTTATTATCGCAATTTAATATGATTCTTTAATTATAAACAGTTTTGCTTTTTTTATTATTGAAAAACAATTTGTTTTTTATTTGAGTATTATATACGTTCATTTTGCATTATTCATTATCTTCTGATAAATTTTTAATATCAAATAACCTCTACGTATCAACAATTTATGATACGTTCGTCATTTGTCACCTGTTTTACGTATATATTTTGCGCAATTTCTTCTCAACTTTCGAATAAATTTTTCAATTTTAATATGTGGCAACTAATTTTCTGGACCATATTCTTTTAGGCAACCTACTCTTATCGTGTAGAAAAATGATCAATCTTTACATTGGTGGTGGATTTTTTCATAAAAGTTATAAATGAAATATTTCAACAGAAAGTGGGAAATTTTCAAGTGGCTGCCAGGAAACAAGACCATTGGAAATGAGGCAACCTATCATTTATTTATTATTTTTTTCATGTTCTTTCAATTAATACAAGTTTCATCCATAAAACTTATGAGTGAAACATTTCAACAAATTTTCACAGAAATTTTTATTGTATCAAAAAAATGGACCATAAAAGGTTAGGCACCCTATGCGTTTCGGAAACAGGATAAAAAAATCTTTCATTTCAAATCAATTTCATCCATAAAAGAGATGAGTGTAGAAATCTTGCAGTGGGATCTCCTACTATAAATATTTATTTGATAATAGTAACTAACCGATTATTTCAATCGAATATATTTTTTTTCAGAGTATTGTTCTCTTTTTCATAAAAAATACCTTATCTTGTATTTTTTTTTTTTTTTTTTTTGAATTATTATCAATTATGTATTATGTATAATATGTGTCTGTCTGCATGAAAAGAGACCACTTTTACCTCTTTCATAAGGGCTATAATCGCATTAAAATTCACGCAAAAATAATCCTTATTGAAATCGACAAAGTTGACCCTTTTCATGCAAACGAGCACATATAAAAGTGAATATTAATAGGAACCAATTGAAAAATGTATCCCTGGAAAATAATGAGGAATCGAGTAAAAAGCCAGATGATGAAATTTACAGGAAATTTTTAAAATATATTAAAAATCACGTTGAAGTCTTAAAGTTAGTATATCATATCAAAGCATAAAATTAATTTTTCGCTAACCAGTCACTAAAGTTTTATAGAATTTGACTATTAAAATTATAGATCTACTTCTACACGGAGAAAAATAAATAGTAATAATTGTAACATTTTCGATCAAAAATTACTACTTTCAAATAGTAATTTTGGACCTGCTCAAGAAATAGTAACTTTTGTTTCTTTTTAAAGAAATTTTACTTTTTTCAAAAAAGAATAATTCATCTCAAGGAATATAATTTTTATTAAAAGCTGAGTAATATTTAAAATGTCCCAAGCAATAAATGCTAGGATCGAAGCAACTTTTATTATGAATCGGAACAATTATTACTATTTCCTAAAGAAATAGTAATAAGTTTTACTCGAAAAAGTAGTAATCGGTACTACTACAATGACGCGCCTCACATGTACGGGTGAAAGGAATTCTGTCGCGTGTGCAGCTGCGCGCCTGCGCGTTTGTTCACGACGTGATGAGAAGATGAAGCGAGTATAGAGAGCTATATATTTTCTCGTTTTATTTTAATAAATAAAAATAAAGCAGTGCGTTTAAAAAAAATTTTTTTAATTAATTAACACTCTTTATGCGTATTATATTCATTATTTCACAAGTTTCACTCTTTAAACATATTCACACTTACAATTAACAACTGAACATATCGGAAAATCTTACATCTACACGGATTAGAACCCTACCTACGAAACTTATATCTAAACGCAATAACCCTAAATCGCACGCTTTTTCACTAAGCCTCTCGGCCGTCGCAACCGCTGCACTCAAAAACGTAATTTACCCACATACCCCTCTTTAATAAAATGAATCATAAATTGTATTTATTTAGATAAGATATTAAATTAACATATAAAAATTTATAATAATAATAAAATAAATAAAATAAAATATTTCTACAAAATAAATAAGAATTATTTAAGCAAATGTTATAAAAATTTTATATATAAAACAGTTGGAATTGCACATTGTAGTATATAAAACTTTGAAGTATTAGCAAATAATAATTAATACTAATATACATAAAATCTTAAGAAGTTTATTTCTTTATGTTTTTTTTATTTATTTTATTATTATAGGTATAATAATTATTATATTATTTATTTTTATTATTTAATTAGATAGTAATTAATTAAAAGTTAATTAAGTAATCAATTGATATTCATTATATACGCAGGAATTGCATACTTTGGAAATTGATATAAATAAATAAAATGTAGGAATTAAAAATTAATTTAAAATGCTAAAATTATTTATTGTCAAACATTTTTTTATTAAGATGAAATTTACATTTTTTATACTTATATATAAGTTCTTTCTAAGTTTCTAACAAAGACTGTCTTTGCTTTCTAACCCGAAAATGCCGGATCACTTTAACAACGTCAGGCTACGATCGCTGCGCATGACCGTAGTGACGTAATCACACACCCACAGGCGTATAGTAGTAGTGGTACGGATTACTACTTTTTCGAGTAAAAAGTTTGTTCTGCAATAGTAAAACTTGTTTCTTGCAGAAGCAATTTTTATATTCCGCAGTAGTGCTTATTAGGATTTCTACGAGTAATATTTAAAAAATGTTGAATGTAAAAATTAATACAAAATTTAATAAAATTTACAATGGCGTTATAAAATTTAAAAATCGCAAAGCAATTTCCATTACATCTGTAGTAATTTTTAAAGTGACTACTGTAATAATTACTATTAGTAATTTTTACTACCATAAATAGTAATATTTACTTCATGAAAAGTACATTTTACAATTAATAGTAATTTTTACTAGAAAAATATAATTATTACTATTCCATAGGAATTATTACTAGAAACTCAGCTCCATTTTTCTCCGTGTACATGAATTTTTATTTTTCATAAACTTTTCCGACTGTAGGTGTATAAAATAGTGTCATAATAAAGCACGAAAATAATATAATTCTTTTTTAAAATGAAATATTAAAAAAAAACGTTTCTAATGGGCCATAGAAATGTATCTGCCAAACGAAAAAAAATATTTTTTTTTTTACAAAATTTATTGTAAAATGAAGTTTTTAAAAAATTCACATTTCTATATGGCCAAATAGAAATGTTTTTTCAACATTTCGATTTGAATAAAAATAATTTTTTTTCTTGCTGATTTCACAAATAATATTAATGTTTCATTCATTGATTTGTATTTACTTTATCCTGACATATAAGTTTTGTAGAACTTCTGGAATCAACGTACTCAACAACATTTCTATTTCAAACGGGAATAAACGTGATTTCAATAAGTGTTACAGGGATGCAGGTAATTAAAAAATATGATATTATTGTTGAGACAAACAATAATAATAATAATAATAATAATAATAATAATAATAATAATAAGTATATGGGTGATTCTCCACGTAGCGCACAACTTGCTTTTTTCATGTTATGAAAGAAAAATCACAAATAATATTCACATAATATTTCGATTCCAATGCAAAAAGGTAATTTCTGTGACTACAAACAAAAACCAATAGTTATTTTTGTATTTAACATTATAATTTTTCGTGAAAAGTGGTTTTTAAGGGTGAAAACGTGAAAATTTGACCTGTCCCCACAGGATGTTTAAACAAAAAAGTTAATATTTTTAGCAATGTGCACTAATAAATACAATTTCTGTTGCTATTTTAGTATTGTATATTGTAGTGGAATTGAATAAAAAAAAGTTTGATCAAAAAAATAATTATTTTCTTTTTTTTTTCGCTATTTATACTTGACTGCACTTTTGTGTGTTATTCTGCGTTTTATTATTATTAAACATTGAATTATTTAAATAAAAGTCAAGTGTTAATATAGTTCTACTTCAGTAACAGCAAAAGTTATATTCCTTCAGTTGATCCATGAAGAAAATAATCAATTTTCTAATTGATTTATCCTTTTTTTACACATTTTAAGATTCAAATTTGTACAGGGCATCACAAAATCGTCTCCACCGGCATCCACCGACCCTTCAATATTATTTAAAAAAATAGAATATAATTAAATAATAAAGGTTAAGGTTAAATAAAGTGTTGTTATATTATTTTAGTCTATATATATATGTGAAACATATGAAACCGATTAAAAATAAATGATAATTTTCTCAAAAAAAAAAAAAAAAATTATTAACATCAGTTCCACCGGTTCGACCGACCCCAGCGTCTCCACCCGCCACAAAATTTCTATAAATTACCGTATAAATTTCCATAAATTACCGCATAAATTTCCATAAATTACCTTAAAAATTTCTGTAAATTCCCCCAAAAATTTCCTTAAACATTTTAAATTAAATTTCAACTATTTTATAGAATTCAACAAGCAAAGAATTTTTTTTTAATTTGTTTAAAAAAATTTAAAAATTATAAAAAATTTTACCTGCCCACCATGGATATTTATTTCTTGACACTTTATCTTCAAAATATGTATTGATATTTATCATTTCGATAAAAAAATATTTTTAAAGTTTCAGACACCAAATCGTGCGCTACGCGGAGAATCACCTATATATTATTTCTGTATATAAATATTTTAAATAAAATATCTACGAAAAATTTGATTGTAGATATATCGTACCCAATTTTATTTTGTTTATTTTTTTATATTATACAGAATTATAGAAAATAATTTTTATTTTAGATTGTGTTGAATATTGATAATCCAGATCAAGTAATGAGATGTATGACAAACTTATCCGGTCAAATAATACAATTATACATAAATAGTTTACCATGTCAGCGAATAATTGATCATAGTTTTAGCATTCGAGATGCTGTGTAAGTATTTAAATCTTAAATACTTTTTTTTCTTACTTTCTCAATTCATTTGTAATGCTATTATACGGTACAAAAATCACAACCTTTTTTTTATGCTTAATCAAAATTTTTAAATTTATAGAAAAAATAAAAAAAATAAGGAAAAAAAATTTATATCAAGTAAAAAATTCTAACAAACAAAAGTCCCAATTGACAATATTAAATTAATTTTTATGAATAATTATAATATTATAATAATTATATATAATATAATAATACATATTATAATTATATTATAATTATATAATAATATTATAATTATATAATAATATTATTATTATTATTATTACTAAATTCATCAAAGATTTTGAAAATCTCTCTTTTATTTAAATAGTTACTCTTCTCCATGGTATTTATTTCCAAAAAAAATAAGACCTCTGATACACATTATTTTAATGAGAGTCATTACTCCGTGTCAAATAACTGCTGGTAAATTGTATATTATGTCCATGGAAAATTTTGGTATGGTAGGTTAATTTAACTTTCATGTTAAATTCAAAAATATTAAAGTATATAAATGGAGTAAAATTTTTGAAGTGTACCAATTCAAAAAACAAAAATAAATAAATAATAATTAAACATCGACTTTCCGATGCATTATCGTATACCAAAAGAGCGAATTGTCAAAACATTAATTTTCCAATTCACTGGTTTTCCAAAGCGTCGATTTTTCAAAACATCGTCTATCCAATGCATCAATTTTCCAAAACATCGATTCGCATTGGAAAGTCGATGTTTAGATTAGGAAACGTTTTTTAAAATCGGTTAATTTAAAAGGCGATGTTTTGACGAATCGATTATGTTTTAGCAAGTCAATGTTTTGATAAGGTGCGATGTATTAAAAAGTCGGTGCTTCGGAGAGTCCATGTAATGAAACTCAATTTTCAAAAAGAGGGGTAAATTTTGAATTTTTTAAAAACAATGTTGTACCCGAGGGGGAATTTACTAGTTAAAAACGTGTACACTTGACTACCGGTATTACACCTCATATTACCCTTATTACTAAATTATTACACGTTATTACAGAGTATTACACATTATTACAGAGATATTACAGATTTTTTTGCGTTATTACAGCACCGTAATAACTCATTATTACACGGTATTACACGTTATTACACAAGTATTACAGGAAGAGTGTACACTTGACTACCGGAGTAAATTCCCCCTCGGTTGTACCATTCAAAAGAGCAGGAAAAAAGCTTTGGAAAACATATAGATCAAAATTTTTTCATCCTTTTATGCAATAGTTATGATTTTTCTAAAAATCCAATGTTCACATTTTTACTATTGATAGACTTCAGGAATTTCGCCCCATTTAATATAACGTTGTATATTCATACAATAATTTATAAAATAATATCAAGGTATTGAAGACATCAATGTCCTATTTCACAGTTTTATTGTCCATGAGATAGTTATGAAAATAGCAAAATAAAAATTTGAAAAGAAGGTAAAATTTCATATAAAATTTTATAATTATTAAATTTTTTTTAAATTCATTGTATGTTATTTTGATATAATTTTTTTCAGAAAAATAAAAATTATAGGAAAATATTTGCTGTACATTACACTTAGAAAAACGTGCAAAATAAAATAAATGACCTTAAAGACCCCTTTAAAGGGTCAAAATGAACGCATAAAATTTTTTCAACATAAAGTCTTTTAAAATTAGTTGTATAAAATGAAGAAATTGACATTTAACTTTTTATAAAATAAATAAATTTTCTTGAAAATATATAATCCAGCGAGTTTAATACCTGAATTGTTCTTACTTTTTACAAAAATTAAATTAAAATTAAGTACACGGAAAAAAAAAGTAATTTTTACTACTTTCATTGTAAAATGGGACCTGTCCGAAGTTTCTGCGCATCTCTGCCCTGGCGGATTCGATTTGCGTAATGTCTACTTAACTAAGCGGACTTTAGGTAGACATTAGGTAGACATGTAAAAAAACGTATAAAAAAGCTATTAATCGACTTATTATGATAAAAAAAAGTTGATAAAAGGGTAAATGAATGTTTATAGAGTAAATTCGTACAAAATTTGTAATTAATAAAGCAATAAATAATTAATAATGAATGGAAATGTGCGCGAGATACCTGATCAGTTCAGCTGTACAATTATTTTCGTGCTATTTTCATGAAAAGAATATAAATTAACTGCAAAAACAATTGATATTTATAAAAAAGTGTAAAATTGATTTAATTTTATTGTTTGCAATACGAATTATTAAATAATAATTAAGTTTTTATCAAATGTGAATAGTGTTGTGAAAACCTGTGAAAACTAATGAGTTACTACATTACCGATCGCATATGAGAGATGGCGCCACCAGTTTTTACAATACAGTGCGAGCATGTTTTCTTCCAAGCTTTTGCTTTGAAAGAAAATAAAAAGTGAATTTTAAAATGCAGAATAAAGTTATACAAATAAATATTGATTTCATAATTGTTTCTCGTCCAAAATTACGGACATGATTGCAGCTTTTTTGTTACACTCATCGAGAACTTTTTATTATCATATGCGATCGGTAATGTAGTAACTCATTAGTTTTCACAGGTTTTCACAACACTATTCACATTTGATAAAAACTTAATTATTATTTAATAATTCGTATTGCAAACAATAAAATTAAATCAATTTTACACTTTTTTATAAATATCAATTGTTTTTGCAGTTAATTTATATTCTTTTCATGAAAATAGCACGAAAATAATTGTACAGCTGAACTGATCAGGTATCTCGCGCACATTTCCATTCATTATTAATTATTTATTGCTTTATTAATTACAAATTTTGTACGAATTTACTCTATAAACATTCATTTACCCTTTTATCAACTTTTTTTTATCATAATAAGTCGATTAATAGCTTTTTTATACGTTTTTTTACATGTCTACCTAATGTCTACCTAAAGTCCGCTTAGTTAAGTAGACATTACGCAAATCGAATCCGCCAGGGTGTCAACTTTTACTCCAAAAATAGTAAAATTTACAATTTTTGAAGGAAATTTTACTGTTCTGTAGTAATTTTTACTATTTCTTGAGTAAATTTTACTATTTTTGGAGTAAAAGTTGCCAGAGATGCGCAGAAACTTCGGACAGGTCCCATTTTACAATGAAAGTAGTAAAAATTACTTTTTCTTTTTTTCCGTGTAGAGTCAGCTGGGGTAAATCGAAACATTAGTTATTTCAGTTAAATAAAAAATTTTACAAATAAATACGGCCTCAAACCTTGAACCTTAGATCACCCCCAACAAGGTTTGAGGCCGTATTTATTTTAAAAATTTTTTATTTAACTGAAATAACTACTGTTTCTATTTACCCCAATTGACCCTAATTAAAACATAGCAACTGTTCAGCTGCATACGGTCATTTTGATCCTACATGAGCACTACCTTATCATTTGAAGGTGTGACTTTTACGAGTTAATTTAACACAGTTGGTAAGTTTCATTTTAATATATAGAAAATATTTATCACTTTAATTTAAAAATATTATTTGTTGGAATGTAAATTAAAATAATGCATTACCGATCTCTATACATATATAACTGAATGGGCGATTGTGCCGCCCACCGTACTTTGATTAGAAGACCGGAAGCGCCATATTGTTCATTCCCGTTTTTCATAAATGGCGGGAGAATTCAAATAATTTAATGGGATTTATATTGAATAAGAAATTGAAAATAGTTATTTGTCAATAATTTTAAAACATTGTAACGTAATTGATATTATTATTGATATTAGAAAAACATAGTTATTATATATTAAATTAAGAAAGCAATTAGTTACATAAATTAATTTTCATGAAATAATTAAATGTAATAATTTAATTTTTCTAATTAATTTATAACTATAATAAATAATATAAATCTTAAAGTACATAACATTTGAATTTTGTTGAATTTATTAATTAAAATTCTTTTATCACCGATTCCTGAATTGAAACAAATATATAGAAATTTTAAAGTCAAATTTCCTAATTTGTAAATATGAAGAACGATATTACAAAATATAAGTATGCACAGAAAAAACCTAGTCTCATTTTTGTTGCAACTCAAAATGATTCAATACTAAACGACATAAAAAGTGGCGCCACCAACCTGGTTCATTTTTGTTGCACATCAAAATAAACCGCCGAGGAGGCTCATTCTGAGTTCAGTTTTTTTGTGTGCATAAATTGTAAAAATGTATATAATTTTTCTATTAATGTCAATTTTAAAGTGTAAAATGTAAAAAAACCAATTAAAATATAACCTAAAAATTAGACACTTCAATAATAATATTAAAAATATGCGTACTCACATGTGAAAAGAATCACCTTTTGCATCTTCGTTCACACAATACGCACGCACATACTAACACCATTTTCACTTTTAATTTCAATGATATTAATATTGATAAAAAATTTCGAAAAATCTCCAAATCACTTGTAGAACAGATGAAAACCCCTGTGTAACGAAAACTAACTCGCGAATCACATGAACGTGCGAACCTAATGGCAGGAGTATAAAACAGGAATGAACAATATGGCGACCAGTGTTTCAATCTGAAGCATCCAGTTATATTTTGGCAAAGAAAACTACCACCGCGGGCAACGTGGCGCTAGTGTTTCGCAACAAATATGGCAAATTTAAGAAACAAATATTTTTCAAATTGTGTCCAATGAAAGCAAGTTTGTTAACAAAATAAATTACAAAAACTTGAAACTGTCTAAATGAAACATTCTAAAATCTTGTTTTTTCCATAAATTTTTAAACTTTGCGTATACAAATCACATTCTTGTTAACTACCGCACTCATCTGCTCCAGTGAAAATTTAGTGACTTTATTGTTAAAATTAAAAGTTACTAAATTTTCACTAAAGTAGGGTGGCGGTAGTTGACCATGAAAATTCAACTCTTACAAACTTACAGTTTATCAAATACTTTAACTTGAATAAAGAGGAAAATTAATAAAACTTAACACTTTTAAATAAACTCAAGTGTGCCAAGCAACCACTGCGCCAAACGCCCCGGTATACCACTATACTGGAGTTATAAAAGGAGATTAAAGGCGGTTTCAGAATAGGTGCAAAAGCCAAGTAGAAGTGCAAATCTTATGAGAGCAAAAGAGAGATAGATAAACTACCTATCTCTTTCGCACTCATGAAATTGACACTTGGACTCAGGGTTGCACAGTTACGCGTAACTCAAGTTTTTTACGTAAATTACATTGGTCCTTTACATTTGTAAAATACGTATAATACCCCCCATCATAAACGAATGCATTGTGTTTGAAAAATTTAAGGTAATTTACATTTATAATATACGTAAAAAAATCTATGTTATTTACCTGAGGTATATTACATACGCAACCCTGCATGGACCTATTCTGCAACCATCTTTAAGGCGGTTCATTGGGGAGGTAAATCTATTTATTACACACAGCAAAAAACAAACGGTGTTAATGTATACAAATATGTGTTACATAGGGGGAGAAGATTCAAATTTCAAAAAAAGCGTTACGTAATTTAAGTATGGCCCCTTATGTAGAATATGGCGTTTACCTATCAGTTTCAGTGCTATATTTCACTTTAATATTGTGATTAGATGCTTGGCTTGATATTTTGTAGTTGGAGGATATGAATATTGCAAAGAGATTTGTAAGTTTAATTGTGACGATACTAGGGGATCGTATCACTAGATTATAAAAAAAAAATTAAATTTTGTTAACAAGAGTGCCTTACGACTTTTTTTTAACGTGGGAACACAAATATTAAAAAAAAAACTTCAACATTATTGAAAAAAGTAATATTTTTTTCATACAAGTTTAAAACTTATTTTTTAAAAATAAAAATCAATTACCGGCACAGAAATCTACATTATCGACTGATGGCAAAACAGGAAAATGAAATATAAAAATTACCGACATAGAAATTTACATTGCCGACTGAGGATAAAACAAGAAAATGAAAATATAAAAAATTATCAAAACATAAATCTTACATTACCGATTGATGGTAAAACAAATTTCAAATTTATTTATAAATTCTTCCTTTTTACCATCTATCATCCCTCAAAATTTTAGATAAAAATCTTTTCTCATTTTAGAGTGAAATGTATACTACCAAAACACATTTTCCCATACTAGTTTACGTGGGAGGTTCACACATAATCTTAAAGCAAATTTTCGCTTTAAAAAATTTACTGTATTAAATATTTAAGCAGATACTTATATTTTGTAGAAAAAATTCAAAAATAAAGTTAATATTATTTATTGAATTTTTCTGTATTTTATTTTATATAAGAAAACCTACCTGTCTTAAAATAATTCAAGCAAAACTTCATTTTCACCTTTCGTTGATTTCTCAGGGTGACGGTTGTTAATCCGCTGATCCTTTAAAGTTTCATCTTTTTCCTTGCAATATTTTTTTAACTTCAACTTCACAGTTTGCATTAAGCAAAAAATGGTTTTTGTTATTTCCATATTACCGTCATAGATATCATCTATTTTCCAACCAATTGTTTCATTTCATTTATTGTTCCTATAAATATAATTAAAATAATATTATGCAAAAAAATTTTTAAAAATATTAATTAAATAAAGTTAGTAAAATGAAAGAAAATAAAGTTACATTATTTAGTTGAATTAACCTAAAAATTTCATAGATTCAACCAAATAGTTTTATTGTTTTTAAGATAGAAAAAAATTTATTTGGAACAATTCAATTTTTGTTGATGACACCAAATATCTTTTCTTACTGGAAATTTCATTAAAAATTTTTTTTTTATCATACGTAATAAAGTATGATTTGAGTATATTATAAATAAATAATGCGACAATAAATAGAAATATTCTCAGTGCACGCAATGCTCTGCAAAATTCATGAATTTTTTAACTGACGGATTGACAGGAACTTTTATTAATAATATATAGGCATCTTATCATCGACATTTATGTAATATTAATATTAAGTATTTTATCGTCCGCCATATTGGATTCGCCATTTTGAATTTTTTAAATCTGACTTCATATTCGTAATCAGCGTCGAAAATACTATAAATAACGTATGTGTGATGGAAATCTACTTGTTTTTGGGCCTTTTATCAATTTTTTTGTACGTACGTCTAAAGACTTCGAAACGTTTGTCTGTTTGAACTCATATTATAAAATCGTTTCAAAATGTCAATTTTTTTAAAACTTTTTTAACTTTGTCTGAAAAAAATTACACTAAAATATGTGTTTTCTATTTCAAAAAATTTTTTTTTTTTATTTTTGAATACGGAATACAATATTTTATAATAAAATTTTAAATTAATAATATAGTAAACAAATTTTTCGCTCATTCAAACGTTCAAAACTTCAGGCACATTTTAAATTAAAATATTACTACAAATTTGAAAAAAAAGGAAACCATTATTGCCCACTTTATCCTATTTAAAAAATTTTAATCTATTTAAAATGAATTTAATAAAATGCTTTCAACACTTTTTGTTACCACTGTAAAAGAAAAAAAAAATTGATATTTGAATAAATTTACATACATAATATAATGTCTAGTACGATTTGAGTATGATTAATAAATAATGAAACAATAGAAAGAAATCTTCACAGTTAGCTTTTTTTCCTGCAAAATTCATGAGATTTAAATTGACGGATTGACAGGGACTTTTTTTTTTTTTTTTAATAATATAGGCATCATATCTTTCAAAGAAAAAAAGAAGATATTTTAAGAAAATCATGGAATATAACACGTATATAGATAAGATTTGATTATTGTTAATAAATTATGAGACAATAAAAAGAAATATTCACAGTGCACGCAACGCTTTTTTTCTATACAAAATTCATGAACTGTAAATTGACTGAGGAAATTTTTCTTAATAATATAGGCATCATATCATCGACATTTGTCTAATATTAATATTAAGTAATGTAAGGTAAAAGAATCTATAGAATGCACGCTTAAAGATATGATAAAACTCTGAGGGTGATAATAGTTATATAAATGTATTGCAATGGTAGAACTTTTTGAAATTAGTTACTATCGACTGAATAAAATTCTTTTGTCTATCATAGGACAATGGCCATTTCAATCAATCAAGGAAGCTTATATTACTTTTATTATTATGATAGCATTTTTATTATCTCAACTATATTTACAGGTCAATTTCCAAATACATATATTCAAAAAAAATATTTTAAAGATTGTAGGACACTTTTTCCAAAATCAGTTTCATAGAAAATTAAAAGGCATTAAAATAAGCTGCAACGCTTATTATTTTAATCCAATTTTGCTTATTTTTATGGTCCCATTTTTTTGTCCAGTTTTTTTTATCACTGTTCGGAGTAACCTCACTAAATTAAATTAAATATTTTTTTATAATATTTATTAATATAAAGGTAGAAAATAATACCTTCTAAAGTAAAAAAAAATTGTTTATTTAAAAGATACAACAGTGAATAATAATAAAATATTCACTTTTCTTCTGTTCCACCAAATAAATTGGTTTAAAAATCAAAATTTTCTTTATTTTTCAAACTTTAATACTGCACAAGAAAAATAATGCACTTCGAAATATTTAACAAACAATTTTTTAAACAATTTTTGAGAAAACTCACTTTTTAAATTTAATTTCAACTTTTTTGTTGCTTCCGTTATAGGTACGTTATTTTTGAGCACATATTTGATACAATAGATAAAAAAAATACGTGGATCATTCCATTTTATTTCACCTATAGTCGTTGCAGCCTATTTTTAGAAAAATGTGGTATTTTGTATTAATGACTTTTAATATTCGTACAATTCATTTTTGACAATTATTTTATGAAATTTTTTTTTATTTACGTTGAAATTTAGTTTTTAAGTTGAGTTGAACGGAAAATAGGTTAGTTTGACAGCTTTAGAAATTTTATACAAAAGAATAGAAATAATTCAGTTAGTAAATTTTTTTTTCATTGATATTTGTTTAAAATAGTCTAATTTACCAATGTTAATTGATAATTGTGTAAAAAAAAGCTATTTTTTAATTTTATTCACTTTAAAAAATTCACCGTAAAAAACGAATTTGAAGGTTAAAAAACAAGTATTTTTATAAATAAAATTCATACAAATAAATCTATATTGAGAAAACCAACTTCAGTTTTATAAAAATACTTGTTTTTTAACCTTCAAATTCGTATTTTACGGTGAATTTTTTAAAGTGAATAAAAATAAAAAATAGCTCGTTCTCCATCACCAAATTTTGATAAGATGAATAAAGAAGATTTAACTTAAATTTTAAAACCAAAATGGGATTTTTTTCATTAATCGCCTGCGAAGATATAAGTGTTCAAAATCAGATAAAATCCTGAAAAGTTCAACATTCAAGGTAAAATTTCACATATTTCTATATTATAAAAATAAAAAGCCAACATATCATGTGAAAGTATACATGGAAAGTACTTATTGTTAGGTAGTAAAAAATTTTATAATATTTATAAACTTTCTTGGAAAATATAAATAAAATGTGACAAATTTTGACATTTTACAGGTAAGTTTGAATATTAATTTTCACGTAGTATTTTGGCTTTTTTTACACAATTATTATCAATTAACATTGGTAAATTAGACTATTTTAAACAAATATCAATGAAAAAAAAATTTACTAACTGAATTATTTCTGTTCTTTTTTATAAAATTTCCAAAGCTGTCAAACTAACCTATTTTCCGTTCAACTCAACTTAAAAACTAAATTTCAACGTAAATAAAAAAAAATTTCATTAAATAATTATTAAAAATGAATTGTACGAATATTAAAAGTCATTAAGGCCAGGTCCAAGTGAGGCAGCGCCATCTACATTGAAACTAAAATTTTTTGAAAATTTTCAACAGCCTTTTCTTGAAAACAAGAAGGTAAAATGCTTTTTCCTTTATGGATAATTGATTATTGGCAAGACATACACCAGCTAAAACTTTTTTTGAGTTAAAATAATAAAAAAAATTTCATGTCAATAAATTAAATATGAGCACTTTTTTCACAAGAACTGTAACAGTACTTTCTCAGAAATTACAATCAAAAATGCAATTTCCATTTGAAAAATTAATAAACGCTAAAAAATACACGACCTGAGATTTACCAATCACGAAAATAACAACAACAAAAATTTATTAAATATTTAACATATTGATACTGCTTTACTGATTGTGACAGCCCTTTGGTAGATTATGTATTTCAGGTGGTTAGCAACAGCGCCAATCTCCTCCTTTCGGCAAAACTGCGAAACGTCTGTTGACATATATAACCTGCCAAACGGCTGTCATAATGAGTAAAATATGTTATGTTAAAATACTTTTTTTTTTGTTATTTTCGTGATTGGTAAATCTTAGGTCGTGTATTTTTTAGCGTTTATTAATTTTCCAAATGGAAATTGCATTTTTGATTGTAATTTCTGAGAAAGTACTGTTATAGTTTTTGTGAAAAAAGTGCTCATATTTAATTTATTGACATGAAATTTTTTTTATTATTTTAACTCAAAAAAAGTTTTAGCTGGTGTATGTCTTGCCAATAATCAATTATCCATAAAGAAAAAGGAATTTAACCTTTTTGTTTTCAAGAAAAGGCTGTTGAAAATTTTCCAAAATTTTAGTTTCAATGTAGATGGCGCTGCCTCACTTGGACCTGGCCTTAATACAAAATACCAAATTTTTCTAAAAATAGGCCGCAACGACTATAGGTGAAGTAAAATGGAATGACCCACGTATTTTCTTATTTTTCATATAGATTTCGAAAAAAAATGTTTTGCGCAAAAAAAATTTTGAATGAAAATTTCCCGTGAAATGTCCCATTTATATCTATGTTTGGGAAAAGGGTTTGCGAAAAGTTTTTGTTAGGAATAGTAATTTTTGTTATTTTGGGAAAAAGTGTATTTTGTTTTTATGACAAATTTTTTTATATATAAAAAAAAATTCTTTTATTACAATCGAACATTTTTGTTTTATAAATTTGCGAAATATTTCACAGGTTACTTCTATGTTAAATTATTGGCCAGATATGGAAATGGTTGTTGAAAGTCTTTCACCACTTATAATCGCCTCAATATGTACAGCAAAAATAAGTAATTGTATTATGAACAAGAATAAGGTGAGAGATAATCTTTTTCATTGTCACAAAGATAAAAATTTACTTACCAAAAAAAAAAAAAAATTATTTTTGAAATTCAATTATTTTTTATCAAAAAAAAAAAAAATTCATTCAATATTTTGTTGTTATTTAAAGCAAATTAAAAAACAGGAATTTGCTTATTTAGATGAAAAATCTTTTACGAATAATGCAAAATCATTGGACGTCTTTGAATGGAAGTTCGGATATTAAAATTTTAAGAAATTATGCAAATGACAGTCAAAAAATGACAATGCTTTATACAAGTTAGTTCCCTCACAACACAAGGATATTCAGGATATCCCTGGGACGTCCTGGGGATATCCATTTGCTTTTGGCGATTCGGATATCCCTAAGATATCCTCTGGATATCCATGGACATCTCTAAGATATCCCAGGGATATCCAAACCGCCGAAAAAAAATCGATATCCCCAGGACGTCCCAAGGATATCCTGAATATCCTTTTGTTGTGAGGGTTTATGAAAATTTCAATAAAATTGATTTTATTTATTATTAATTATATTATCAAATAAATATTTACTTGAACCAAATAATTTTTATTTGAGTCAATTAAATGGTATTTATTTAAATATAGAAATTATTGATTCAAATACAGTTTATTTAATTCAAATAAAAATTATTTGGTTCAAGTAAATATTTATTTGATAATAATCAAGTAACCGATTATTTGAATCAAATAAATTTTCTTGTCAAAGTAGGTAAAAAATTTTCTATCTAATTTTTAATTGTTGATTGTAAACGTTGTAAACGTCTCCAAAGTGAATTATTATAAATTGTAGATATAAATTAAAATAATGTATATGGGGCATTCCAAGTGAGGTTTCCATTACAAATTTTTTTTTTCAACTTGAGCCTTTTTTCTATTTACCTATTTGTAGGGTTCCGTTCACGCAGTGAATCGAAACGGAACCCTTATATGGTTTCACTCATGTTTTTATTTTTTGATTGGATAAAAATTATGGAAGTTATGATTTATTTAAATTTATCGTTGACAGAAGCCGAGAGTACTTTTGAAATGCGTTTTTCTCTATCCCACTACACTGTAAAAAAATTAGGGAGTTAACGTTACTGGGAGTTGGGAGTTAAAATTTTCGAGTTAAAAATCAACTCCACAAGGGAGTTAATAATTAAATTAACTTCTTACAACCAACTCCCTAGGCATAAAATTAACTCGTAAAGCATTAACTCCCTTCGCTTCAACTCCAAAAGGGTGGGACTTTTATAGCATCCCCTAGGGAGTTGAAATTCAACTCCTTTTTTTTACAGTGTAATAAATAAAAAATAATATTATTTATTAAATTTGTTGTAAATAGTAATAAGCACCGCACTTACGCATAAGCAGGCAAAAAATGATGAAGTCAAAAAAAAAATTTTTGAATGAAAATCTCACGTGGAATATGCCTCATATTAATAAATTGTTAACAAATAATATAAATATTTTTAATAGGAATATTGTATGGCGCTCTAGTAGTTTTTATGATAGTTCCCACACTTCAGTCAATCGCAGAAAATGTTCTACCAGGACGTAATCAAACATATCCCTTGTTATTTCCAGTTGATAACGTAGTAAATGTGGAAAAGTATCATAAAATTTTATTAATTCATTCATATGTTAGTACATTCTATTTTATAACGATTTTAATATCGGTTGACACAATGTTTATTACGTACGTGACACATGGCTGTGGGATGTTTGCAGTGTTGGGGTAACAAATTTCATTTTATAATTTTAAAAATTTATATTGTAATTATTATTATTATTATTATTATTAACATTATTAATTGTTTTATATTTTATTATATTATCATTTTATATTTTTTTTATATATATGTATCATTTAAACTTTAAAGTCTCTAACAGGCATCAATTAAAAAATGTATCACCGAGAAGTATTCAAAAACCTGAGGAGTGGTGTAATGATGCAGATGATGAAGTTCATAGGAAGATTTTAATATATATTAAAAATCACATAGAAGTTTTACAGTTAGTATCTTAACAATATTTAATATTATGGTTAATCTTTAAAATAGTTTTAAAATTTAACCTTAAAAATGCCTGAAAAAGTGCTACTTTATCTGCCTAAAACAGGCACAAAAAAGACACTTTTTCATGTCAATGGCGAAAAAAATTTTTTTTTTTAATATTAATACTCCGACACAAAACAACAAATTTTTATACTATTTTTGAGTTCAGTACAAAATTTTAGATTAATATATTAAGTATTTTTCGATAAAATCTATACGGAGAATATATTTATGTAGTACATGTGCGGTATGATAACAATCACATACCCTTAAGAAATATATGAACTTAGATAAACAACTCTGGAAAAATCGAAATTTTTTTTGTAGAGTATTTATTGCTAACTGAGTCGGAAAAGTTCTGCACAATTTTTCTATAGAATAATACAAAAAAAAACCTGTGCTTGTACTTTTTATTTACTCTTCTGACAATTAAGTCAAAATTTAATTTTCCATTGTTAATTAGCGGCAAATTAATGCCAAATATTTATCTGCCTGAAGTTTTGAACATTCAAATGAACAAATTTTTTTTGTAACTTCTTTAAATACGAATTTTATTACAAAATATTATTTTAAATATTTAAAAAGAAGTTATTAATTTAATATTAGTTTAATTTACTGCTTTATTTTACATTGACATTATAATTTTTAACTAGCAAAATTACACACGTGTAAGCGCGCGTCCAACTTTAAATGCAATGGTTGTTTTAAAATAATAATAATATTAATAATAATAATAATTCTGCATCAGCGGAGTAATAAATTAATAATAGGTATATTTCTAATTTTCACGTTATCATTTATTTATACACAGAAAAAAATGAATTTCATGTTATATAAATAGTGATTTTTTAGTTAAGCCAGCTCATAATTAGTTAATACAGCAAAAATAATTTAGCTATGTTAATTTTTAAATTTAATAAACTTGTAAAACTATTAGTTCGATTGTTGACGGTAACAACAATGAAAACCCAAGAAAAAACCTATCGAAACAGTGATAATAAGAAAAACATAAATTAAAACCAATAGTTACAATTGGCGGTGAAAATGTTGATAAAAATAAGATTTTTAAGTAAAAAATTTAAAATATAAATATTAAAATTTAAGAAATAAATATTTTTGATAAAGTCAATGTTCGATGATTTTTTATAATCTTTGAAATTACAAAAAATTTGTTTTGCTAAATATTTTTTTGTATTTTCTATAAATATTTCGTTGCAAATAAAAATGTTAAATTTATGTTTTTTTTTCAAAAAATTTAATTAATTGATAATTAATAAAAATTAAAAAATTATGTATTCAAAAAGAAAATTAAATTAACTGAAAATTATTAATTATATATTTTAAAAAGTATTAAGGAGGTTCATCCCAAAATCGATTTTCTACAGATTTTTTAAAAATTTTTAAGATGTATTATTGACATCACTTTACATGTGTTGTTCAAATTTTATTGAATTTTACCGTATCATTTTCAAGATAAAAATTGATAAAGTTTGAAGTTTTACATGGGCACAGTGAAAAAACATGAAAAATGACCATGTTTTCATTAATTAAAAAAAACGGTTCTACAGATTTTTTTAAAAAACTAATATGTTTTAAATTATGAGTTTTAACAGTTTTTACAAAAATATGAAATTTTTTTACCGTTTGGTTATGAAGTAAATGTTAATCAAAATTAGCAACTTTTGAACTTATCCCATGTAAATAAAAGAAAGAAGAGGAGAAACGGCAACATAACCTCTAAATTGGCCAGTGGAGCTCAACTTTTATGGACTATAGCTGTCGGTTTTAAACTTATGGAAAACCCCTAATAGAATGAGTACCGCTTGAAGGGATAAACCTCCTTAAGCAATTAAAAAATATTTAAAAATTTTGAAAAAATAAAACCTAAAAAAAACTTTGTAATGTTTTAAACTTTAAACTTAAATTAAAAATTAAAATCAAATTGAAAATTTTTTAAAAAAGCAAACTATTTTTATATTGTTTACAGATAAAAAAATATAACAATTTAATAATTAATAATAAAAACAAATTAATAATAATAAATTTATGAATAATAGTATATAATAAGTAATGAAAAAATAATAATTATAAGTTAAAATGTTCTAATTATCTGTAATAATCATTATAATATAAAAAATGTATATATAATATAATAAATTTATAAATAATAATAAAAATTATATTATAATTGAAACTTTTTTTTCTATAAATACCAAATAGGAAATATACTGCGGTGCTGCACACAATGAACAATATTTTTTTTTTACTTTAAACTGTCACTTAGTATATGACTTAATTAATGACGATGAATAAAAATATCCGTCGCGTTAACCATAAAATATTACGAAATCCAGAATTGTCAAAATTTTAGAAAAACAAAAAGGAACAAAATACGACTAACTTCAAGTGTGGACAGACGGAATGAATGAATGAATGAATACGGAAATTATTATAGTTAATTAATAATAATAATTTATAGATTGAAAAAAATATTTTGTTCATTTGACCGTTCAAAACTTTTGGTTCATTTAGACACGTAAATATATTCCATTATTGATTTTCCGATTTTTCCAATATTGCTTATTTAATTTAATTTATTTTTCTTTTCTTCCTAAGCAGTACTTTAAAAAAAAATTCAAATTATTCTTCGTGTTTTTGAAGGTTTAATCGGCTTGAAAATGTGAAATCGAGCGAAGAACGAAATTTATTCGGTCAAGCTCCACAGTATATCTTTCAATTTCTAGCCAACTAAATTCATATTTAATTTTTCACGAGATTTTTCATTTATTTATTTTCTATCTTAAAAGAGATATTTAATTCACATTATTCATATGAATTTACTTTAGAATTGAGCTGCTGGATCAAAGAAGGGCACATAACTAATGTATGTCCAATGGGTTATATGCTCTTCTTTGATCAGACAGCTTAATTCAAAATTGATTATATATACTTTTCTACTTCTGACTCAGAAAAAATTTCTTTTGAAACAATCAAATAAATGCATTACTATACAGTAAACCAAAAGTTTATTTTTTTCAAATCAAATTCTTTCTTCATTTAAAAAATTTATTAAAATAAACCAAATGTTTATTGACATCAAATAAATATTTATTTGAAATAATCAAAAAATTGTGTTGATAAGAAAAATTGTATATTTAATTTAAACAAACTTTTTCTCTGAGTACTTGAATATATTGAAAAAAAATCCAATGCGGATAAATTTTGCAATAATTATAATATATTAATTGATGTGTAAATAATTATTTATTTTTACTCACCTCTAATTTAATGATTTCTCCTTTGCATATATTTTCCCTCAACCAAAAAAAAAAAATAAGTTTTGCAGAACTTCTGCAATCTACATATTCAACAAGTTTTCTTTTTCAAATGGGAATTAATATTGCAGTAATGAGTGTCACGGGAGTGCAGGTAATGACATTTTTTTTCCTGTTGATTTTTATGTGTTAAAAAATTTCAAAAGACTTGCGTAATAAATATTTCAAAGGGTTAATTTTGTTTATTAATTGAAAAAATGTAACAAAAATATTTCGCCTTTCAGATTGTTATGAATTTGGATAATCCAGACCAAGCAATGAGATGGCTCTCAAGTGGTCTGGGTCAAGTTTTACATTTGTACATGAATAGTCTACCATGTCAACGATTAATTGATCACAGTATTAGTATTCAGGAAGCTATGTTAGTACCTGTGAACGATTCCATGTTAAATTTATAATCGACCTTTTAAATTTATGTTTTGCAATTTCTGAATGTTCAAATGAACGAAAAATTACTACCGTCAACCGGACCTATATATACGAAACTTTTAACTTTCAAGAAAAAAAAATTTCTTTTTTTAATTTGCAGATTTCAGTTATATCGCTCTTGAAAATTTAAAGTTACTTTTGTATAAACATTACAAATATAACTATAAATTCGCGTTTTACCACAAAGTTCTACGTATGAAATTTTGTCATATAAAATTCCATGGAAATTTGTTGGAATTTTAATGGAAATTCCAATTGACACTTTGCGATGAATCTTTTTACCTGCGGGAGGCTTCTGTACTCTCTAAATCTGAATAAGTGAAATTTCACTTAGAATGTTTCAAAAGTCTTCCACGTAGAAAAATAAGTGTATATGGGCAAATCCACGAAACTTTTAACTTTCAAGATTAGAAAAAAAAATTTCTTTTTTTAATTTGCAGGCACATTGATGTCACTTTGTATACACGTTTAAGTACATTTCAGCACTATAAATTCATATGCGTAATTCATTTTTAGCTCACGCCGTCAATGTTTAACTCTTTAAACTCTTTAATGTTAATAAATTACATATAAAATTGAAAAATTCTACTTTTTTTATTTTTGATATCGGAGTGGTTTCCAAAGTATTTTCGACCTCTGAACACGATTCTGGTACCCAAATTTGCTTAGCATGTCAGAATTTTGAGAAAAGAGGGGGTAAAGACTCCAAAAAAGTGTTTTCAGCATATTCTTAACTTAATAAAATTTGTTTCACTCAAAATCCTTAAGCGGCGTTTTTGTGTTCAAATATATGTATACAAATGTTTCGATCACACCATAGATTGACCTGTTTAAAGCAAAAATGCAGTTGTGCCTTTCAAAAATGTATAAATTTAAATGAAATCACGATTTTTATTATCATCTTTAAATTGTTGCCACAGGAATTCAATTAGAGGCACATCATTGAAGAAGGTCTTAAAAGTTTTGTTTTTTCATCACCTTTTAAGAAATGCATTGAACTTTTATTTTTATCCAACGCCGTAATAGACATTTTCATAAGAAGACGTTCAATTGAATTTTTTTTAAAAAGTGCTATCACTCAATCAAACCTTCGTATTTTTAGTTTTAGTGGTGGCACACTAATGGGATAGTGAACATTTTTTGACAAAATATGTCTGTTAGATATTTCCATAGTATAGCTGAAGTATTTTTTTACACGCCGCAAAAATAAAAACTTTAAGAATATAAACTTTTTCAAGAAATTCAAATGAAATTTAAACATTTTTTCACTTTTTAACTTATAAAACTAATTGTCAAATAAATATTTTGTTCTAATACTGTACATAAATGTTCATAAATTTATCACAAAAAAAAAAAAATGATACCCAAAGTTTTAATTTAAAATAATTCAGATTTTTTTTTTGTTCGTTTCGAGAATCACAAAAGTTAAAAGTTTCGTGGATTTGCCCATATACTCGAAAACGATGAAAAATTTTTTTTTATCGCAGATTTAGAAACTTTAATAACCCCGCTGTTGGAGCTATTATAATCAGCAAAGTTTGTTTATTTATAAAATATTCTTATTATTTTTTGTACAGCTTTAGCTATATATGAAATCTTTTAGTCTCTAGATTATAAAGAAAAAAAAATGAAAAATCTAAAAAAAATTTTTTATAAAGCAATATATTGTTTAAAAAATCTGAAAGTAAAACATTCAAATTTTACCAAAATCAATTTATTAAAGAAAGGAAAATTATTTAAAATTAACATTTTTCACCTTCATGAAGTTGACGTCGACGCTCCAGCGCTGAAATTATTTTTCCGTTTGATTAAAAAAAATTAAATAATTTTTTCCATTGGACTTTGAAAATTGTAACATGTTAAATATATAATGAAAAATATTAGGAAAGTGTTCAAAAACTGTTTTGATTTTTTTAATATTAGAAAATACTCAAAAAATGTATTCGTCGCTGAACGTCGACGCCGCAACTAAATGAAAGTCATTTTTCAGATTAAGTAAACAACTCAATATAATTTCTAACAATCTCTTAAAAGTTATTTTAGTAGAAAAAATTACAAAATTAACTTGAAATACATATAAATATTAATAAAAGTTACATTTTTTAAAAAAATTCTAAAAAAAAAAATTTTTACGACTTTATAAATTTTTTTCTGCGTTTTGACAAAAAATTAAGTAATAACATTTGGTGCCCTCTGTAATAAAACTATTAAAAAATATTTACACCAATCGTCAAGTTCAAACAATTCAATATAAATATTTTATTAATTAAAAACCGTCGCTGAGTATAATAGCCCCAGTGGATGAGCAGAATAGCCCCGGTTGACGGTATTTTAATTTCTAGTAAATTTATCTGATTTGTATTAATGTCAAATTTGAGTCGCCGGAAAGTAAAACCACACATAAAATTCTGACGGCCATGTTAATTCAATGGGAGTCAGAATTTTATGTGTAAAACCACACATAAAATTCTGACTCCCATTGAATTAACATGGCCGTCAGAATTTTATGTGTGGTTTTACTTTCCGGCGACTCATTTATTGAAATAGATAAAAATAAAAAATTTTTTTTTGTCAATTTTTAATTTGTTATGATTTATTATATTAATTTTTTCTATTGTCTAAACATTTTTTTATTACTTATTAGTAGTCAACAACATTTTGTTCAAAAAAATTAAAAAAACAAAAAACAAATTTTTTTATTAAAAAATTATTTAAACAAAAAAAAATTTAATTACTAAATTATTTTAAAAAAAAAATTCTAAATCTTTTTGAAAAATTTTCGTAGTACCTATATTCCTAAATACGAATTAATAAAAAAAGTGAACGAATCGAAAGCAAAAAAAAATAATTGTTAATTAAAGATAATTATTTTTTAAAATAAAAATTGACATTTTTATTTTTTTGTAACATTATTCAAAAGTTGGAGAAAAATTGAAACTTTATTCTTTTGTCAAAAATTATTAAATTTAATACTTTTAGAGTTATATGTCATTGAAAAAATCAAAATTTATAAAATTTATAGCTTGAGCGTGTAAATACGAGCACTTATAAAAAGAAATAAAAAAATACACATATATATATATATATATATTTATTTCTGTAAAGAACGAAAAAATAATTATGTTTAGCCGAATATAAATTTGACGTGGAATCTCCCCTAAATATAAAAACAGCAAACAATTTATTCTTATAAAAATAGATCATATCATTATTTACATGGGTAAATAAAAATTTACTACCTTCTCTATTTAGTTATTCCGCTCCTTGGTACACATTTCCATTAAAAACAAGACATTTGATAAAAATAATTTTAATGAGAGTATTTATTCCTTGTCAAATAACAGCTGGAAAATTGTATGTTATGTCTATGGAAAGTTTTAGTGTGGTGGGTTTTTATATTTATATAATAATTAAATAATATATAATATTTATTATATTAATAATAAATAACATTGCCAGAATAATAATGTAATAACACTTTTATTTTTAAGGTACTAAAAACATCAATGTCTTACTTCACTGTCTTGTTATCAATGAGATAATAATTGTAAAAAACAAAAAATTGGCAAAAAGTAAAATTTTATAATATATTTTAAACTTGTATTATTATTGTTATTATTACCTTTTAGTGAAATTATGTCACCTGTACGTAACCTCACTTTCTCAGCTTTGGTGACAAAAAGTCTCCAGGGAACTTTAAAGTTGAGAAAACTTCTCGCGAGACATTTTTGTATTAAAATTTTTTTAATATAGCAGAGATCATCAGAAAAAATACAGAAACTAGTTTTTTCTTACAATGAAATAGACAGAGCTCCTTTGTTTACATTTACACCAAGTATCATGCATCAAAACAAATAAGTCTACGTAAAACGTATCAATAAAGACTATTAAAAACACAAGTTTCTTTTAAAAAATACTACACTACTGACATTTAATACTGTAATTAACTGGAATAATTATTTTGTTATAATATTTCATGCAAGTAGGTAATAATTATATAAAACATAAATATTAAAAGAATGTGAAAAATGTCAGTGTTCGCATTGCCAACCTTCGCGCAAAGTCGACGCGTCAAACGTGGTAATCAACGAGTGGTGCACGCTTTCTTAAAAATTGCTATAGCTCTTTTATTTGTTAACCAATTAATTTGCAACTTTCCAGAAAACTTCTTTGCATCTAAAGGAACAAATGTCTCGCGAGAAGTTTTCTGAACTTTAAAGTTCCCTGGAGACTTTTTGTCACCAAAGCTGAGAAAGTGAGGTTACGTACAGGTCTCGATTTGCAATTAAAAATTACTAAATAATAAATTATTTTTAACTTTTTCGTCATATTGTCGGCTGCCTTATTCCTAAACGCGTTTACATACCAAATTGCAAGATAATTCGTTAATATTTGTCCAAGTTATCACGATTTATGTTTTAAAAGTTTATTAAATTTGATACAAAAATTTTTCAGTTTTTCGCTTTTATTTTTTATAATATTTGAGTTGCAGAAAAACTTCAAAGGACAAAAGTTGTGAAAGTTTTGAAAAAATAGTCTCTATAATGTAGCATATTTAAAAAATTAAAATTTTTAATTACCATTTTTTTCTACTTTTCGACCGTCTTGACTGGTATAAGAGCTTCCAGCCGAGCGTAGATCGAGTAATACGATCCAGCCACTCAGAATATTTTGAGGTTATGTTGTCCGATTGTCAGTTCAGAATATATATTTTCTTGGTTTCTTGGTTTATTTTTGGCATTCACTATCACTATTACACGATTCATTTCGTTAATTACGATAAATTCTTTACTAGAATTAGAAACTTTAAAGTTTAATTTAATATGATATTAAAACAAAAGTATAAGCATGTAGCCGCTTGAAGTCACTTTGCCAACTATAAGCGTCGTTTCACCGGTCGGCTTATAGGTGGCTTGTAAACAGAAAGGCAAAATTCATAAGAGTGAGAGAGATAACACTATACTTTAAGGTCATGTAATTCTTTTGATTTCACATTTAAATATTCTCCACAGATATTTTCGTAAAATACTTAATAGCTATTTTATGTAGAACTCAAAAATAATATAAGGATTCGTTTTCATGTGCCAGTAGAATATATATTAATATTTGGCTGCATCTATTACGCCCGCTCGGGCGAACTAATTCATTCTTCTTATTTCGCCCGCGACGGGCAAAATAGATACGATTGTGTGAAGTGGCTATTTCGCCCGTCGAAATAAATGTGTTTTAGAAGACGGTCGAAATAAGAAAAATAGATTATTTCGCCCGTCAAGTGATAAAAAAAAACGATCGAAATAATCTAATTGTAAATACAATATTTCGCCCATCAGGTATAAACAGCTGTTGCATATTTGTCAAATTAATTTTAAAATTAATTTGAAGTTTTGAAAAATAATTATTATATTGAATAACAACTTGATTTAAAAAAAGTTATAAAAAATTAAGGTTTTTAATATAACGTGTTGTTAAATTTACTTGTTAATTTTCGCATTTGAATTAATAACAATCAGATACGAAAAAAAATAGATTCAATTATAAATTGTACAATTAAAAATTAGCACACATATAATAATTAGGTTTAATAAATTTTAGACGCAATATTCCGTAGCTTATAAAAATATTTTATTACTTAAATTTTGAAAAAAAATTTGATTATTTTATGATACTAGTAAGTAAAAAAAAGATTACATAATTATTTTCATAAAATAATTATAAAACTGGAAAAAAAACTTAAATTTTTATTATGGTTTAAATTTTACTTTTTTTAAAATTGTTAAATTTTTTGGCTTTTGAAATTATATTAATATCATTTCATTTTTGGCCGGAAATCCAAATATTTTTTTAAAAAATATTCGAATTTCTGGCCAAAAATAAAATTATATTAATATATTTTAAATTTTACTGTCAATAATTTTAAAATTAAACTTCTTCGACAATTTATATTATATTTCATCGGCAATATTTATACATACTTTCTTTTATAATTCCGAATAATCAATCGTATATATAATTTTCTGGTTTTTAAAATTTTGTAACTTTCAAAAAAAAATTTTAATTCTAAAATTGACAAAAATATTTTTTTTTCAAATTTCAATAATTTAGAATAATTTTAAACTCTAAATAATGCCAGAAAAAAAATTAAATAGACAATATAAATTTTGAAAGGTTAAAATTTTACTGGTCCCTTCCGTTGAAATAAATTTAAAAATCGACTGTTTCTGACATTTTTTGTAATGTAAAACGATTAAAATTTTTTTTTCCCTTAAAGTTGATTTAAGATCTGAGTGTATTAAAGATATTTTATAAAAATAATTATTTAATTTTTTTTATTGATATGAATCATAAAATAATCGAATTTTTGCAGAACTTTAAATAATAAAATATTTTTATAAGCTATTGTCTAAAATTTATTTAACCTAATTATTATAGTACGCTTATTTTTAATTTATAATTGAATATAGTTTTTTCGTATCTGATTTTATTTATTCAAATACGAAAATTAAAGACACACTGCAAAAAGATTTATTTAATTCAAATAATCAGTCACTTGACTAAAATATCAAATAAATATTTATTTATATTAAATGATTATTATTTCAGTCACTTAAATGGTATTTTTTTCAAATACATAAATTATTATTGATTATTTGAAACAAATAAATCTTTTTTCAGTGCATGTAAATTTAACAACACATATATATATGTATTAAAAAACCATATTTTTATAACCTTCTTTAAATAAAGTCATTATTGAATATATAATAATTATTTTTCACAACTTCAAATTAATTGTAAAATTAATTTTTAATAACAAAAATCCAACAGCTATTTATACCTGATGGGCGAAATATTGTACTTTAATTATTTCGTCCGTTTTTGTTTTATCACCTGACGGGCGAAATAATATATTCGCCCGTCTTGCAGATATTCGACTTTTTCTTAGACGGGCAAAGTAATCTATTTTTCTTATTTCGCCCGTCTTTTAAAATACATGTATTTCGACGGGCGAAATAGCCACTTCATACAAGCGCATCTATTTCGCCCGTCGTGGGCGAAATAAGAGAAATGAATTAATTCGCCCGCGACGGGCGAAATAGCCACTCCGTTAATATTTTGTGAAAAAATTTACTCTTAAAAAATTACACGTACGTTTGTGTGGCAATGACTAAAATCGTATTGCCGCCATATTGAATTATTCTCAAAAATGCAAGTTTTTAAAAAATATACATATTTTGATAAAATATTAATAATCTGATACATATAATAGCGATTCTTTGTACTATTTTTGAGTTCTCCACAAAAAGGAGGAGGGCCCCTAAGGCCTATATTTCGCCCCCTTGGGATTTTAATTTAAATGGTTGAAACTTTTTCTTATAGTAGAAAAAGTAATTTTTCATTGATTTTAGGTGAAACGGGGGTGTTTTGGTCAAATTAACCCTTAGATTTTAGGGTTTTTTTTCAAAAAGAGTGTCAAAAAACATGCAAAAAACATTTTCCATATGTTGAGCAATTGGCTTGAAAATCGTTGCTCGGGGGTTTTCGGGGTCGCTGATTACGAATCCGACGTTAGTTTTTCAAAATTCAAAATGGCGGATCCAAAATGGCTGACATATTTTCGAAAAATTCATTGGATTTGCCTGAAACTCGTGACTCGGGGGTTTTCGGAGTCGCTGATTACGAATCCGAGGTCAGTTTTTCAAAATTCAAAATGGCGGATCCAATATAGCGGATTTTTTTTTAAAAAATCGTTTAGATTTGCTTGAACCTCTCCTCCGGGGTTTTTGGGGTCGCTGATTACGAATCAGAGGTCAGTTTTTCTTAATTCAAAATGTCGGATCCAATATGGCGGACAACTATTAAAAAAATCGTTTGGGATTTGCTAGAAACTCTCTACTCGGGGGTTTTTGGGGTCGCTGAAAATGAATCCGGAGTCAGTTTTTCAAAATTCAAAATGGCGGATGCAACATGACGGACAAATATTTAAAATCACTGAAAACTACTTACTTTAGACGATTATATTAAGTTTTTTCAAAAGTTGTCCGCCATATTGGATCCGCCATTTTGAATTTTGAAAAACTGACCTCGGATTCGTAATCAGCGACTCCGAAAACCCCCGAGTCACGAGTTTCAGGCAAATCCAATGAATTTTTCGAAAATATGTCAGCCATTTTGGATCCGCCATTTTGAATTTTGAAAAACTAACGTCGGATTCGTAATCAGCGACCCCGAAAACCCCCGAGCAACGATTTTCAAGCCAATTGCTCAACATATGGAAAATGTTTTTTGAGACTCTTTTTGAAAAAAAACCCTAAAATCTAAGGGTTAATTTGACCAAAACACCCCCGTTTCACCTAAAATCAATGAAAAATTACTTTTTCTACTATAAGAAAAAGTTTCAACCATTTAAATTAAAATCCCAAGGGGGCGAAATATAGGCCTTAGGGGCCCTCCTCCTTTATCTCAATCTATCAAATATTTTGCGAGAATATTTGTGGAGAAAATATACATAATATGTGAAATCACAACACAACAGACACTACACATACACACAAGACTCGTGGCCGCTGATATGCCATACACTTTTTTGTCCTTTTCTAACGCACGTATTACCATGACAACACGTGCGTTAGAAATCAAATCAATAAATATTCAGTCAATTCAGTACATTAATGAAAAAATTAGTCGACAATTTAACATAGGAAGATCATATTTATAATTAAAGGAGTATTATAGAAAAATTTAATTAAGGATTTACATAAAAAAAATTTTTTAAGGCGGTTCAACCTCATTTCATGAGATCATTCTATTGTATTTCGTTATCCATATTTATACTCCATATACATATTGGACTCTGGGAATTTGTGTACATAAATAAATTAATTAATTACATAACCTCAAATTGAAAATTGCTTACCAAATAAAATTATACTAAATCATACATCTGGCAAAAACATTTCAGCGGGAGTTTTAAAATGAACCAATCATAATTTTTTTTTTTTTTTTAATAATTTTAGATTGGTGGATTTTAAAATTCCCGCTGAAAATTTTTGGCCAAATCTATGATCGGATATGTAAAAGTTCTATCAAATGGAAATTCGACGTTTTAACAATTCAATCAAATGACAATTTGGACAATTAAAGGTACGGTATTATTTGAAAATTCAAAATATTAAAAATCCTGTTAAACAGAAGTTCAGTTAAATAGAAATTGTATTAAATCAGAATTTAGTTAAGGATATGTGGGCAAAGGACGTTTTTTTGTGGTTTGAAACTTACTCTGAAATAAAAAATGATTTTGAGTTAAAATTTTGGAGAAATGATTTAGTTTGGTACAAGAAATCTCGCTGTTCTACTCATTTACCATAACTTAACGCAAACATAATAAAAATAAAGAAATAAATAGTAAAATAATGTATTATATCATAGTTCATTCAGCGGCCACTCGCTCGAATTGGCGTTGTTTACTGGAGCACTAACATACTCAAGCAACGTCTGTGTATGCGCCGCCATCTTTGTTTTCATTTTCGTTTAAAAATGCCAATTTTTAAACATCATTTTTCAATAATTTAACGCAAAATTATGTATTTTTCGGAGAACAGCGAGATTCCTTGTACCCAAATCTATCATCCCTCAAAATTGCAGACAAAAATCTTTTCTCATTTTAGAGTGAAATGCATTCTACCAAAACACATTTTTCCATACTAGGTCACGTGGGAGGTTCCCACATACCCTTAAATAGAAATTCTCCGATATAAAAATTAGGTTTATTATAAAATCCTATTTGTAAAATTCATCTTATTAAAAATTCGATAATTTTTAATTTGTCATCATAAAAATTCCAACAAGCCAAATGCGTTGGAAATATTCGTGTGTTCCATATTCAGTGCAAAAAAATTATTTTACTTACCAATAACAAAAATTAAAAAGCATTTTTTCTTTCTGCATGCTAAAAAATTTAAATTTTAAAAAACTTTTTGAATAGAAAGGAAGAATACAATATTTGCAACTTTTGTTTACAGCATAAGTGTAAAACACATTTATTTTTCCTCTCTCATCGCTTAAAGTATAAAATGTGATATATATATATAATATATATATATATCTATACTTTTATTTATACATATCTATGCATACATCGAAGGAAAATCTTACAAATAAAATAATATACTGATGAATGTTAAAAAATATTTCACTCGTACACTCCAGCGAGATCGATAAACGCGATTTGTCTTACGATCACGGGTTTTTTTTTTTTTTTTTTTTTTTGTTTTTTATTATTTTTTATTATTAAATCGAAAAAAAATTATTATATTACATTGAGATTGCATCCAAATCAATGTTTAAAAACATTGAGCAACTAAAGAGTACATTACTAATATAGTGATCCTAGAAAAACAGAATCCAATTCTTTATTTTTAAATCATTGTTTAAATGTAATTAAAAAATTTTCACATTTCAAGGAAAATTTCAAAAAAAAAAAATAATTTCACATATTTAATATAATTATAATATTAAATGTATAATTTTTATTATGAAAAATATTTAATTTAATATTTTAATAAAATATTCTAAATTGTGTCTAAAAAAATATTTAAAACCCTCATTATGATGATTATTATTATTAATTAATTAATTAATAATGAATCCTGTGGTTCTAGAATAATTTCTCATCGATTGAAAGAAAGATATATATACTTTTTTTTCACTTAATATTTAAGGAAAACCATTAAAATCTTAATTGATCGACTAAATGTAATATTTGCAGTTCAGCGATCAAAACTTTGGTGCTTTAAACGCGTCACACACCAAAAAAAAAAGAAAAAAAAAAGATACACCACTCACGCAGCATATTATAATAATCTATAATTATATACATTGAGTGCAAATGTCTGATAAATTTTATATTGGTGAATTTTTTTTTAATTATTAATATTTTTTTAACAGTCGATGTGTTACCGGACAAAACAAATTCCGTAATTTATTTATTAGTACTTTGTTGTTTTTTTTTTTTTTTTTTTTTTTGAGAGCAATTTAATAAATCTTTGAAAAGTCAATATCACACTATTTCCCAACGAAAAAAAAAAAAAATAATTAAAAATATTTTCAAGCAAATGTCTGTCGAGTTGACTGTGTTTTTCTCTTTTAGAATACATTCTATACATATACTAATTTTTTTCTGAGATTATTTCATTATATAAATGTCAATAATTTTGAATTTTAAATTTTCCTCGGAATTTATGTTGTATTTTTTTTTTTTTTTACTATATATTTTCTAACAGAAAAATTCTTAATTTCATTGTGACAATTATCAATGAAATTTATTTTCTATATTAATCATTCTCTGATATGAATAAAAAGTTTTGAGAAAAGAAAATTGAAAAAAAAAATAATAATTAAGGGCATTTAGTGAAAGGTTTTCATGCAACTTTGACTGTTTGAATTCATTGTATGAATTTAAAAAAAAAAAAAAGTAACACTTTTTAACGTAATACAAATGCAATAGCCGATTAAAAATTCAAAATCTTAATTATATATATAATACATCCGAATTGACTATAATTGAATTAATTTACTCGTATTTACAAAAAATGAATTATTTACAAAGTTCGCTAATCACAGTATAATAATTTCCATAACATTAAGGCTATGTCAAAAACAAAATAGCGATATCAAAATTAGTTTCAAAATTACAGGAAAAAAAATTTTCTCAAACAACTTACAGATATTTACATTTAGTTGTAAATTAGAAAAAAATGTTTATATATTGTTACAAAATAAATAGGGAATAATTTTTTATCTAATTTAACTTTCTTTTTGTATATTGTAAAAAAATCTTTTGTTTGAAAAAATTTTTAATATAATACCTCACTAATTTTTGTTCACTATTAATCTCAGACATAACCTTAAAGACTTGCCTCTCTAGAATTTTAACAAGAGAATAGTAATGCATTCTTTCCCCCTTTTTTTTCTATATCAATTTCTACTTTTCGGATTCAATATTCCATCTCGAGAGACATTTCAGGCTATTGTATTTATATTTCGTTTAAGTGTTTTCTTTTTTTTCTTTTTTTTTACTAAATCATGGATTTACACAATGTTTTTAAATAAATATAGATTTCAATTTAAAAATAAAAACCGCAAAAAAAAAATTGAAAATATTAAGGTTAAATATTGCTTGTAAAATTATACAAATAGCTCATAAAAATAGAACATTTTTAAAATGTTGAATTGAATTTTTTTTTTACTAAAAAAAAAGATTCAGTGGAAATGAAAAATAATCACTGATCTGTAAAATTGCAAAAAAAAAAAAAAAAGAAAAAAAAATCACTTCCCTTAGTTGTAAATCCATGTTGAATATTACGTTAAGGCTGGCACTTAAAAACTTACAAAAGCTCTGTTAAAATAATTTTTTTAGTCCTAACTTTAACCTTTCCTGAGCTGGATTCACTTTGATTTTCAATTGTTGTATAAGATCATAAATTTTGAGAGATGGTCCAACTTTAAAACCAGTTAAGTCTATAATTTGATCCTTCGTCAAATTCAAAAGTGTCTTCCCATCTACTTTGCGTTTACTAAAGTTGTCACAATACGTTGCACAGTCATTGACACGAAGAAATTGTGCCACATCGAATATATTCCATTCCGATGGTACTAATCCCTTGGCGTCGGAAGACTTTTGCAGACAATCCGCTAGCCTTGGAATGTATTTCTCGCTCGCTGGCGAAGTCTGTGAAAATTAATTTAAAAATAAAATAATAATAATAATAATAATACTTGTGTAACTTCGAGTGTAAATTATTATTTTCTCCGATTCCGATATAGGACAATTTGTATCAATATAAATCAAACTGTCAATTTATAAATTCGAATTTCGAGATTGTGAATTGTTTCCAAGTTCTGATAATATGTAATTAATTACGGGGGGATATAAACCAGTCATGTTTAGAGATTCTCGAAATTGACAAAATTGATTTATAGTTGAATTTGATGTAATTTTCATATCGACGCCTACCGTTTATAAAATGCTAACATTAATGTCAAAACATAATAATACCAGGCCTCGGATCGACTTTAAGGCGCAAAAAAAGTCATTTTAGTCGATTTATTTATTTTCATTAAATTTAATTAGTTAATAAGTATTTTACTTTAAATAGATATTAAATCCATTTTATTAATTCCTTATTAAGAATAATTTTACAAGAATATTTATTTATTATTTATTTATTATTATTATTATTACAAATTTATAAAAAAAACAAATTCTGCCAACAATTCGATTTTAGAGTTTTTATTTGAAACTTTTTTAAATAATTGAATTTTTTTAAAGAGATAATAAAATTATTAAAAATAATTGAACTTTGGAAAAGTTATAGTTGAAATTTTTGGAAATAATTAAATTTCAGAAGATTTTGTGTTAAATTTCAAACAATAATATTAACTTTTACAGCTAATTGAAAATAATTTATCAAATAATTTTAGATAACATTATTGAATTTTTAAAGATTTACAATTCAGATTTTTGAAATTAATTGAACTTGAAGTGATTTTTAATTAAAATTTTTGACGATGAAGAATTTATTAAAAACTAAGGACAAAAATTAATTTTCAAAAGTTTTGTAATTGAAAAATGCTTTCAGATAATTGAATTTTCAAAGAATATTATAAAAATCATTAAAAATAATTGAATTCCAAAAGAGTTATAAATTGGAATTATTAAATTTCAAAAAGTTTTTGGATGGAAAATTTTTAAAGATTTTAAATTAAAATTTTTGGTAATTTTATTCGATTTTTTTTTAAATGATAAACAATTATTGAGTTTCATACAATTTTTAATTGAAAAATAATTTAAGAAGAAATTTTTGCGAAGAATTTCATTAAAATTATTAAAAAATAATTAATTTAGAGAAAAATTCTAGTTAAAAATTTATTAAATATAATTTAAATAAAGAAGATCTGATGAAGATCTGCATTGTTTTCTTAAAAAATACGTATTTTGTTTAAAAATTTTTTTTAAAAAAATGTAAAAAAAGTCCAAAAATTCGCATCTTATTCAAATAAGTTGAAAAAAGTCGTATTTTCGAAAAAAAAACAGATAAAGTCAAAAAAAAGTCGTACAATCGAAGGCCTATAATTCTAATTAAAAAACAAGTGCAATATAAAGTTAACAAAAAAAAAAAATTTGTGCAAAATAATTAATTCTTTTTCAATATTCACTGCAAGACAATTCTAATTCTAATTTGCAATTTGCAAAATATTAAATTGTTAAAATCTTAATTTTGCAGAATTTTCATTAAACCGATTATCAATGTTGCAGAAATTTTATTTAGACGAAAATTAATTTTCCAGAAATTACATTTGATCGAATCTCAATTTGTGTGAGACATTATCTCGTAGAATATTAATTTCGCAGCAAAAAGATTAGAAAGAATTTTAATTTTGTAGAATATTCATTTGCTCGAATATTAATGTTGCAGAAAATGAAAATTGTCGAAAATCAATTTAACAGAAATAATTCGGCGCGAAGTTTAAATTTCACCAATCAAAATCACTATTCTGTAAAATTAAAATATTCTACGCGACTTTTTTTTCACACAAATTGTGATTCGATCAAATATAATTTCTGGCAAATTAATTGTCGACAAAATAAAATTTCTGCAACATTGATAATATTTAATGAAAATTCTGCAAAATTAAATGTGCGTAAAATGCTGAACGTTCAAACGAAGGAAATAATTTTTTTTGTCTATAAATTTTTAAAAAAAGTTACTAAGAAAAAAGCACATTAAAAATTTCATATATTATTAATTTATTAAATTAAGTTCAGAACTTTAGGCACTTCAAAATTTATATTTTAACAATTTAATATTCTACAAAAGTACTATTCTACAGAATAAGATTCTATTCAAATTATAATTCTAAAAAATTTGTTTCAGAGCTTATTCATGCGTCCTAAAATTATTCTAAGTAGGGAATATTCATGTATTTTAAGTTGTCAGGAAATTTCCGAAATAAGAGAACTACTTTTTTTTGAGTTATATAATAAAATCTAGTTAATTTGATTTTTGCCTTTTTCAAAGTCAACTTTCTGCGTGAAAATATAAAAAAATTGTTGATGAGAAATAGTTAAAATTGTGAAAGAAGTTTAATATTTAAACGGAGAGACCAATAAAGTTTCAATTCCTTTTTTTTTATCTCTTTTTGAAAATATATTTGAGAGATGATGAAGAATCATTAAAAAAATTTGGCAAAATTTGTCGATAAAAATTATTAAAAATTGTAAATAAAATTTAATTATGAAAAAATTTTTTTGATTATAAATTCTAAACTCATCAAAAATTAATATTTTCTATTGCTGGCTAATCTGTATATTTTTTAGAACCTAAATGACACAAAAAAAATTTTACAACTTCCTGCGATTATTTAAATTTAGAGGGATCAACATAATAAAGTAGTGCCTCCCTTTAAGAAATAAATATCATTATTTCAGAAAATTTTAATAAATCAAGATTTTGTTATAAAATTCATGCAAGAATTTCAAAATCCGCTGGACAACCCTGATGATAAAAATATTGTACACCAAAAAAATCTAGCATAATTCAACACAAGTTTTGATTTTGAAAAATAATTCTTGACAAGTAGAAAATGAATACTTACATTTACACACAACGTTACATTTCGATCCCTTGAAGGTGGAACGACTTGCAAATTACTTTGAATCTCACTCAAGGCTTGACCCTGACAACTCGAAGGACTGGGAAGAGTTTGATCTGGACCAGCTGGCTCCTCTGCCGGTTCAGGTTCTCTGCTCGCCTGCTCAGGTAAACTCTCCAATTCATGATCTCTTTCTATTTTAATACCCTGAGCTGGTTCTAATTCTAATTCCTGCTTTCTTTCTCGATCTCGTTCTCGTTCTCTTTCACGATCTCGATCTCTTTCACGAGTTGGATTAATGCGTTCACTATGTCGTGGAAGAAATTGTCTTCCACAATGCAATTTTCCATTTCGTTTCATTTTTCTCTTAGATTTACGTTTAAGGCCTCTTGGTGATTTCACTGATACAAAGAAAAAACAAAAATGCTCAATTAATATTAGAAATAAAAAATATTATATTTATTATTTTTCATTTGCAGCAGTACAAAAATAACCTTTTATTTAAAAAAAAAAATAATCTTGAATGTCACTTTGAATTTTTTTGACATTTTTATTTTAAAAACAAACGTTGAGAAACATTTTTTAATGGAAAATAAACAAAAAAAAAGGAGCGATTTTATTAACGGAAAATTGAGGATTTTTATTATGTATATTAGAATATTTTCTAAAAAATGAATATTTACCTGTAGGACTAGTGGTTTTATTAATAACCCGTGGCCCTTCTAATTTATGATCAACAAGATCACACCATCCAACGGGATAAATATCAGGACTTTGGCAATCCAGCCATTGATCATATTCATCTTCCCATCCATCAAAGTGCACCCTCAGTAGCCTCCCAATGACTCTAGTGATTGTTGCTACACAAACTAATCTAGGATCCATTAAATCAGCAGCCTCAAGTCTCATGCCCTCAATAAATCCATGTTGTGGTACCTCCTAAAAAATATTTTATTCAGTTATTTTCTTTTCTTTTTTTTTTAATTATCCAAAAGGGATTTAACGGCAGAAACAAATGGGACGCCACATTATGTAGGAATTTTTTTGGCATTGAATTACTAATTATCGAAATTCTATTTTTAGTATTTAGTAGACTTTCATAAAGTGAACTTTAATTTAATTTAAGAATTTTTCGGACTATTGACCATTTACAAGAGAAAAAAAAAGAAAAATTAAATAAATTAATTTATAAATCTAAATAGATACGGAGTTTTAAAAGGTTCTACAAAATGACAATTTGAATAAGTGTGAATTCAATCGAATGGAGTTTCGGTGAAATAGAAATTCTCAAACTTAAAAATTCAGCTAAGTCGAATTTTTTTTAGAATAAAAATTCTCCTTAATATAAATATGGTAAAATAAGAAAATTTGTTAATTAAACAAATTTTTAAATGTAAATTTATGTGAAAATAGGTGTTAAGTGAATATTCAGATAAGTAGAAATTCGATTAAAGAACAATTCTATTAACTTAACATTCTTTTTTTATGAAAATTTTGCTAAATTCAAATTTTATTAAATGAAAATTCGGTGATCTAGAATATTTCTTTTATACAATAGTTTGGCTAAATAGAAATTTTGTTAAATCAGAATTTAGTTAGAATTAAAAATTCTTCGATATAAAAATTTCGTTTAAAATAAAGTCCATTTTATAAAATTCTGCTAAATATAAATTCAATAATTAGTAATTTAACGTTAAAAAAAATGCCACGCGCCTGAAGTTCTGAACGTTCAAATAAATGAAAAAAAACTTCTTTAACTTCAAATTTTACAATAAAAATATTGATTTTTGTATCCAAAATTAAAGTCAGGCACATAAAATTTCTACAAATATAGGGGGGGGGAATATTTATGCGTTCCGAACAAACATTTGTTGGTTTGATTGCGAATTATCAAAAAATATGTTATAATACATTTTTAGAAAAATGTTATTCAGCAAAATTATGTAGCACAATTTTTTACTTTATCAAAATTTTAATTGGGAAATTTTGAAAATTTAATTTCGGGTTTTTGACCTGGAATCAAAAATTTGTCCTACCTGGTTACGGATTAGAAATTTTATTAATTATTTTGGGAAAAATAAATGTTTCAGAAAAATATCAAAGAGGATTTTTACAGCTTTCCTAGTCTGTTTATTTAGAATCCCTATTTTTTTTTTTTTAATCAATCAGTTTTAAAATTTGTTTTTCATTTTTTCAATAAACGTTTCACTTCGAGGTAGACTATAAAAATTTAGGATAAATTCATCACAAGTTTCAATTTAAAAGAAAATCAAAATGCGGAATTTTAAAAAAAATTTCAAGGTCGAATTAAAAATTCAATGCAAATTCACGATTCTTTCAAGTCGAAACTAAATTCACGTCATTTTCCCGATTTTCAAGATTCGGTGGCCAATCTTTGGAGTCTAATTTAAGCAATTTATTCGAATTTAAAATTTTGTACTAGTTTTGATGGTCAACAAAAATTCAGGCAATACTTAATCAAGTTTTACAGATTTTTAAATAAAAATTTAGGAAGATTTAAAGTTGAAATTTTTAGAAATAATTGAATTTCAAAAGATTTTTGTTAATTTTTATACAATAATTAAAAAATTTGCAGAACTAAAAATAATTAATCAAATCATTTTAGATAATATTTTTTCAAAGTAATTGAATTTTCAAAGATTTACAATTTAGGTTTTTGAAATTAATTGAACTTTAAGTGATTTTTAATTAAAATTTTTTTTATGATTACACTAAAAAATTTATTAGAAATTGCAAACAAAAATAAAATAGATTTGAAAACTTTTTAAGTGAATAATGGTTTCAGATAAATTAATTTTCAAAGAATATTATAAAAATCATTAAAAATAATTGAAATTTTTGCAAATAATTAAATTTCAAGTGATTTTGAATTAAAATTTTTTTGGTAATTTTTATTTGTTAATTTTGTTTTAAATTATAAACAATTATTAAATTTCATAAAAATATTAATTGAAAAATAGTTTAAGATAATTGAATTTGTGAAGAATTTCATTCAAATTATTAAAAATATTAAATTTACTGAAGAATTTTAGTTAAAAATTTGTTAAATAATTGAAATAAAGAAGATCTACATTGTATACTAAAAAAACATATTTTATTGAAAAATGTTTTTAAAAAATGTAAAAAAAAAGTCCAAAAATTCGCATCTTATTCAAATAAATCGAAAAAAGTAGTATTTTTGAAAAAAAAAACTCGAAATTCTCAGATGATTTTCGGTGTATTGACCCTAAAGAAGTGTCGCAATCATTAATTTTGTAAAAAATACAAATTTTTGAAATTAAGATTAAAAAATCAATTTTTGCTCTAAAAAAATAAGACTTGCTTTGCTACCTGCAAATCCTAAAAAAAGTCAGGGAATTTTCCTTTGAATACTGGAAAAATATCTGAGACCCGTCACCAACAAATATTTGTTCCTAACATAGAAACCTTTTCTCAAGATAAAAAAAAAATATTATTTCTTTTGGAATACTCACAGGATTAAATAGATGTATCGGTGCAGGTATAGTATTAGTTTCAGTCAAATACGAATCCCAGGTAAAAGTCGTAGGATCATATCCCTTGGGCGGAGTTAGTGGCAAACCATGCTGTGCACAAAATCCAATTGGAAATATACAAGGTGAACATGAATGATAACAAAACCAATCAGCCCCACTGGCATCCTCATCGTAGCTATCAATGCGAATCATAATGAATTCCTTCCTTAATACTCGCATAACAGTCGCTGCGCAAATTGCAGAAAGATTGAGTGGATCTATCGCTTCAAGTTTCATTCCCTCTTGAAATTTAAATCCAGGTATCGTATGATTCTTTGGCACAATGAAAATATCCTCTGTCGCGTCATCCTCCGAATACTGTTTCTTTGACATTCGTTCCAAATAATCTGGATATGCGTCCAATGTTTGACCAATTTTTCTCGACCATCCAACTGGATGAATCAATGGCGAATCTTCGTGACACCAAAATCCATTATCATCAGGTGGCGAATCATAATAACGCACATGCAATCGTTTACCGAGTATTTTTTGTATTGTCGCTACTTTCACTTGTGATATTCGATTTTTATCAACAACTTCCAATTGAAGTCCACATCGAAAACGTGATTTCATACTGTCATTTACTTTATTGTAGAAATCAGTTGGTAATGTTCGTGCACCCGTTAATCGTCTTTTAAGAAAGTCCTTCCAATCTTTATATTTGTTGGCTATTGCTGAAAAGTAAATTAAAAAGACATTTTTAAAACAAAATTATTTCATTTAATTCAATAAAAACTGCAATTATATAAATCAACTTGATTTTTAAAGAAAATATTTTTAATATATTTTTTACATTCAATTTTGTATATTTAAAAATTCATTTTTTAACTTATTGTCGAATTTTCCATTGACATTTTATCCAAAGTTATTTACTTTTTAAGAATACAAAAATTTGAAAAACATAACTTTTTGAAATATTAGTTATTATTATTATTATTTGTAAAATTTAATTATAAATTTTACAAAGTTAAAGGCATTTCAAAAATAAAAACATTTTTAAAAACACACATAATAAAAACATAAATTATTTTGAGAAACATGAATAAACTCTAATTCGGCTAAAAGTAAATTCCAGGTAATAAATTTCATTAAAATGTAAAATTATAACAAATTAATTTTACAGTTTATTCATACGAATAATAAATTTTAAGAATTTTATAAGAATAAAAGAAAAATTTGATAAAAAATATTTAAAAAACACGAAAATTGTATAAAAATGAAAGGAACAATCAAAAATTTAAGAAAATTAATAGAAATTGAAATAAAAAGAAAGAGAATTTTAGTAATTAAAAAAAAAAAGAAAAATGATAATTTGTAGGGAAAATTTAAAAATAATAAAATACATGATAATTTTGGAAAAATTAAAGAAAATTGGAAAAGAAAAAAATCTAAGAATTTTAGAAAATGAAGAGAAAATAAAAAAATTAAGGAAATACAATGTCGAAGATATTTCAATCAAAATTAGACAATTTTATAATTTAAAAACAACGGGAATTTCATTTAAAAAATCGCATTTAAAAATACAAATATTAAAAAATATAAAAGAAAATAAAAAATTTAAGAAAATAGAAAGTGATAAAAAAAAGAATTTCAAAAAAAGAAACGAAAATTCTCAATATTTTAACCAAGTACGCAACTTTTATGATAAACGATTTCTAAAGAAATAATTATTTAAAATATAAAATTCTATAATACCTTGCCTAAAAAATATTTCTTGTAGTTTTCATTAATCAACAAATTATAAAATAGTTATTTTTAGGCAAAAAATTATAGAATTTTTCCTTTTGAAAAAATTATTTCTTTAAAAATCGTTTATCATAAACGTTACGTACTTCAGCTTCGTTATTTTAAAACTAAAGGTAAAAATGTTTCATATTTCTATATATTTTTACACTACACTCTCAACTATCTGTTGACCTATATTCAAACATTTTACGACTTTCACGACATAATATTACGAATTTCATGTCTTTTTAAAAATCAATAGTTTTATTAAAAATCGTGATTTATTGGAAAATTTTAGTTTCTAATTCAAAAAAACATCCCTTGATAAAAATATAAATATTGTTTGATGCTTTCATTATTGAATTTATCGTTTATTTATAAAAAAAAAATAAAACTATTTAGAAATAAACAATTGAAAAATTTTATATAAAAAAAAAAATTTTGATTTAAATAAAAAAATCAAATTTTTTAAATTAAAAAAAATACACATTTTTTTAAATTCTGAAATAAATATAAAATTAAAATTATATTACAAATAATAAAAAAGAATTTCTTCTAATATTAGTTTATAAATCTAAAAGTGTAATTAAATTATTTATTAATAATTTTAAATTATAAAGACGATTTTCAAATTTAAAATTATAAATAACTTTTTTGCAATCTCTATTTTTTTTATGCTAAGTATACCATTTCAGGTACTTGACAAAAAAAAAAAAAATTTAAATTGAAATTGATTCAATCAACTTTATAATTAGCATTGAGATAAATTTACTCACTGTTTGGAGGTATTAGAGGTTTTCCAATTGTGGCACACCAACCGACAGGATGAATATCATTTGAGCAAAGTGAAACCCAAAAATCCTTTTCGGCATTGTGTCCGAAACCTTCGTATCTCAATAGTGCTCTGTATCCAGAAATACGAAGAACAGTTGCAACCCAAAATGAATCGGGAAATGCCTCACAAACCTCATCGCAATCCGTGTTTTCTACCTCCACCTTCATTCCCACTGTTATGTCGTCCCAAATTTCTGATATTGGCGCCTAAAATTTTTTTTTTAATTCAGTAATTCAGTAATTTATCACTTATTTTTAAAATAAAAAAATTATCAAAAAATTATAGTAAATCAAAACAAGTATGTATTAAAAATCAAAGACAAACTAAGGACAAAATTGTGTTAAATGACAATGTCAATATGAATAAAATTAAGAGTTATTAAATTTAAAATTAAATTTATATTAATGTAAATATAATACAATACAATATTAAATTAAATATATTTTTTGTGTCAATAAAATATTTAAAATAATTTACTATAAAATAATATACACTATACTATCAAGTATAGAATAATTGTTTAAGTTTTAGGGTTAATATTTCGACTAAACTGGTCGCTGACTAATTTTTAAAAATTATAATACTTTGCAAGAATGATTTTGAAATTATCGAGATCATGAAATGAAAAGTATTTTATTAAAAATTTAATAATTTATTGTCAAATATGAATTTAAAGTATATGAGGTGCTGAAAACTGTCAATAAAATTCATTTCGTGATCTCGATAACTTAAAAATCATTCCTGCAGAGTATTATAATGGATTGATCCTTTTTGAAATTCTTTTTTTTTATCTTCATATTCAGAAAGAAACACCAAATATAACTTTTAATGATTCAAAGTTGTTAAAAATAAAATTACTCCCAATTTTATTGAAATATTTTTTTAACCCTTGGAGTACTTTAGAAATAGTAGAACTTTGAAAACTGCTTGGGGTCTCAAAGACACGATGTGTGCTTCTTGCTTGAAAAAATAGTTGTGTTCTCCAAGGGTTAATAAAAATTATGAAATTACTAATTTTAGGATCTAAAATTATTGAAATTTAAAGAAAATATATTATTATAAATATATTAATATGAAGAAACATATTTTTTCTTCTAAATCGTTGATCATAAACGTTGTGAAGTTCAACCGACGTATATTATCTTTTTTTTAAAGCCTTTCTTTTAAGAAAACATTTTCAATGAAATTGTACTCACGTGTTTAAAGCAAGACACGGGTGCAGCACAAAATCCATGTTCTATCAATTGTGGTGTCCAATCGTAAGATCCCTCCATTTCAGCAGTTCGTTTTCTCCTCACGGGCAAATCTTCTGGCATTACTGGTTCAGATTTTATTACTTCCTTGTCTTTCTTCTCGGGTTCCTTCTTTTCAACTTCAATTTCTTTAGTTATTACCTTAAAGTATTAGAAAATAAATTTATATTACCTTTCTATGTGTGATTAAATAAATTTCTTAAATTCTTTATTTTCCTTTAAAAAAAGTATAGTAACTATAAAAAATCCTATCCATTAAATTATAGTAAATAATAACAAAGAAGATATCGATCACTCCGTGTCAGGATTAAAAATAATAGAAATTATTCTTTACTTTTATTCTTATTAATTTTAATTCTCACTCGGAGTGATCGATATCTTCTTTGTTATTATTTAAAATACGACCGAGTGATAAATTATTAATTCTTAAATTATATTAAAGTTGTAAGCGACCAAGCGACACAAAAATTTATCTTTTCTTTAAAATTTTAACTTAAGCTAAACTTTTTTTTTGTGAAATAATAAATAATTTTTTTTTGTAAATCGAGAAAAAATTTGAGACTGAATTTTTTTTTAAATTTTTTCTATTTTTAATAGTTTTGAAGTTAGAAAAAAAATTATTGTTTTTTTAATACACAACTATTACCTGCGAACTTCATAAAAATAAAAAAAAAATGCATTAAGATAACCAAAATTAGAAAGATAAGGAAAAATGTCATCAGTTTGTTTATAAATTAATTATTTTATACTATGATTCAGATGTTTATTTTTCTTCTTATTTGTACGCTTTCAGGGTCAATAAAGGGTAGTTTTGTAAAGCCGTATAATAAATAAATAAATAATTTTAAATTATTAATTAAGGACTTTTAAAAAAAATTCATAAATAAGACTTTTAAAATTGCAGAAAAAACGTGATACACTTATTTTCAAATTTAAAAATCTATCAATTTTACGAGATTATAGACAGTTAATCCAAAGCTCTTTCATGAAAGCACGTTTTACATGTAAAAATAAGATTTAACAATTTTCTTTGAAGATAATAAATTTTTCAAATATATGATATAAATGAACATTCTTAATTTTTCACCAACTTTTTTTTTTTTAACTTTAAAATTAGTGAAAAAAATTACTAGAAATGCGAATATTTTTTATAAAAATTATTATTTTTAATTACTTTTTGTAAGAAGTTGTTATAATTTTTTTTTTTTGTTTCTGGTTAATATAATTTTAATTTAAAGAGCCAAGTTACGGTGGCAAAAAACGGTTCATAAAAAAAAATCTATCAATTAAACATTAAAGAGTAGATTTTTTTTTTTATGTACAATTTAAAAAGTCTTCAAAAATTTAAAGGAAACAGATTGAGTGGTTTCATGTTTTTTTTTTCGGGTAATCATGGTCAACAACTTGAGAAAAGTCATTTCGAGAAAAACGTGTTTTTAAAGTTTCAACTTATTTTTACACGATCAAGATCACCGCATTCCAATAAGAAATTCAAGGATTTTTACCTTATCTTGAGTTCTCTGAGAAAATTATTAAGATCAGGTATAAGGGCCTCTACAGCTCTGAAGCGACATGACATGTGTCCTTTTTTAAAAGTTGTGTAATTCATTTAATTTTCACTGAATCAATTTAAAAATTTCTAGACATATTTTTGAAATCATGTATATTTAATTTAAGAAAATGCAAAAAAAAAAGAAAATACGATTTTTTAAAAATTCTAAGTAATGTTTTCTTTTAAAATACTTTTTACTTTTAAATACATTTAATGAATGAAAAAATAGATATTTTACTGTAAATAAAGACATAAATTTAAATTGTAAAAATTAAATCTTAAAAATTTTCCTTCAAATGCTGCAAAATTGCTTAGTTTTGAAGAACAATAAATTTAAAGTTTTCAACTTTTTTTTCATATTGAGCAAAAAAGGTTAATTAAAAATTTTATAAAAACAGGATCTTGAATTCACGAAAATGAGTTTAAAATTTTTAATTCTCTACTTTTATTTAAAAAATAAATATTTTTTTTCTGTTCGTCAAATTTTGGTGTTTTGAAAACAAAATTGTAGCCTCAAAAAAAAAATAATATTCTAAATATTTACCCCTTTAACAAAGTTTTACACTAGAATTTCACAAAATTTATTTTTTGAAAATTTTTTCCAAAACTTTAAACTTTTTTTTCAATTCTAAAGTTAAAATATGATTCATTTACCTCAAAAATCAAAATTATAGCATGAATATGAAAAACAAACTTTTTTTTTGAAAAGTAGAGAGAAATATACCAAAAATGTTAAAATATTTTATTTTTCTAATTTTTTAAAAGAATATCACGTTCAAATTAATAATTTTTGATTCGGTATAGCAGAGATTTTAAGTTATAAACAAGTTTTTAAACATTTCTCCAGACTAAACTGACAACGATTACAGTACCTTTTTTTATATTGAAAGTAAGTAAAGAGGTGAATTATTTACCGAAAGTAAGTGACAAAAAGGTGTTAAAAAACTGATAGTTAAAATCAATTAACGTGCAAAATAACTTCAAATTTTGATTAATTTAAATTTTTTCTCAATGATTAAAGAAATAATAATTTAAAATTTAGGTAAATTAAATTTTTGGAAAAATTAAAATTTGAATCAATGAAAATATGGATAAATTGAAACTTAAAATTTGGTTAATTTGAAACTAAAATCCATCAAAATTTAAAAAAAATGAAATTTGGGAAAATTGAAATTTAAATGAATTAAAAAGTTCGATAAATTCAAATTCAGATAATTTAAAACTCAATTCGATTAATATTTAGATTGAAATTACGTTAATTTTAAGTAATGGATTGAATTTGCATTTAATTATAATTAATAAAAAAATTTTTAAGCAATAAGAACTAGAATTTATATGTGCTTAAAGTTCTGAACGTTTTTAAAAGAAGGAATTCTTTTTTTTCGGTTCATAAATTATTAAAAATTACTAATACAATGAAAAATAAAATAGTCAATCAAATATTTATTTTTTCATATATTTTTTGACACGTGAAGCAATATTTTATAATAAAAATCCAACTCAAAGAAGTAGTAAACAAATTTTATTTCATTGAATCACTTGAAATTTAAATTTAGATTGAATTTAAATTAGAATCAATTAAAATTTTAATTGAATAAAATTTCATCGAATTGAAATTTAAATATTTTTTTTAAAATTTTTTTCGAGTCAATTCAATCATTTATAGAAATGATTTCAAGAAGTTTTCAATTATAAAAAATTAAGACAATAATTTTTAAAAGTAAAAGTTTGAATTGAAAATTTTTAAAATTATAATTTTAGTCGCATTTTTGAAGAAATATAAAAATTATTAAAAATAATTAAATTTTTGAAGAGTTTGTTTGGTAAATTACAGACAATAATTAAATTTTACAGAATTGGAATTTCGAGGACTATTATAAAAATCATTAAAAGTAATTCAATTACGAAAGAGTAATATAGTTTAAATTATTTTTCAGAAAGTTTTAGATGGAAAATTATAGAAATAATAAAAATTTAGAAGGTTTAAAATTTAAATTTTTGAAATTAGTTGAATTTTAATTGATTTTGAATTGAAATTTTTCGTACTTTATTTGCTGATTTGTTTTTTTTTTTAATTTTAGACAATTAATGAATTTCATTAGTTATTAAAAAATAATTAATTTAGAGAAGAATTTTTGTTAAGTAAAAAAAAATAGTGGAAAAAGTCGCATCTTATTAAAATAAGTCGAAAAAAGTTGTATTTACGAAAAAAAGTCGTACAACCCGAGGACTGTATTTAGCTCAAAGGAAAAAAAAACGAATAAAAATCAAGTAATTTGAAAAAAAAACTCACTTCCTCCTCTGGTTTAGATGCTTCAGGCGATGGTGGAGTGACAATTATTTGATTCTCAATAGGATGCGACGGACTGTACGTTGAATCAGCAGCCGGTGCAGTATGCTCTGAAGATCGTGCGCAAGCTCTACTACAAAATCGTCGTTCTTTCGTGTAAAAGGCATGTTTTACTCCAATGGCACCACATTTCTCGCAAACGGCTAAAAAATCAAAATAAAATTTATTACATTCTCATTTAATTAAAAAAAAAAAAAAAAAAAAAAAAAGAAACAATTTTCAAAGAAAAATTCATACCGATTCCATCCTTTCGAATTGGTATAAAATTGAGATCAGTGTGAGGCTGATAGGCAATTGGTGTTTTCAGAACAAGGCCAGGATGCTTTATTGGCTTGATCTTGCGATTTCGATTGTCCTGCGTTTGTGTTGCTGCATTATTTACAACCTGCTCACGATCTTCTTCCGTCATATAATCCTCCAATGTCATGTATTCAGTCATTTCATTACTTTCCGTTTGTGGATCGTATTCCTGAAATAGAGGATAGCACTTAGGAAAAAAAAATATTATTAATTATAAATAATTTTCAAATTTATATCTAATTTATAAATAATTTATATTTAATTTATAAATAATTTATAAATAATTTATATCTAATTTATAAATAATTTATAAATAATTTCATAATAATTCAAAATAATTCTATTCATTATAATAAAAATTTTATTTTGCTTTCTCCTAACTTTTCTCTAGTTTCTAGTAATAATTTAAATTATTTCCCTCACACTAATAAAAATATTTTAAGAGGTTTTCAATTATAAAAAATTAAGACAATTTTTAGAAAGAAAATTTTAAATTGAAAATTTCAAAAATTATAATTTTAGTAGCATTTTTAGAAATTTGATATTTTTTTTACCAGTACTTTATCAAAAAAATTCCCTGACTTTTCCCTGAACAATCTCATTTTCCATGAATTTTTTCCTAATTTCTTTAACCCGTGTCAACACTGTTTTTATATGAGTCTTAAGTTCAAAACGTTCAAATGAACGGAATATTTTTTCAATCTATAAATTATTAAAAATTATGATGACAATGTAAAATAAAACAATTATTAAATTAATAACTTCTTTTTAGATATTTAAAACAATATTTTGTAATAAAATTCGTATTTCAAGAAGTTGCAAAAAAAAAAAAAATTTCGTTCATTTGAACATTCAAAAATTTAGGCTCATATTTTTATTACCATTATTATTATTACATATTATCATTATTATTGCAAGGCGTCTACTAATTTTGTTCAACAAAATTCCCGTTTATTTCCCAGTTTTTCACAATTTATTTTCTCTTTTCAAAATGAGCCAAAAATTTTGAACGTTCAAATGAACGAAATTTATTTTGCAACTTCTTTAAGTACAAATTTTATTACAAAATATTGTTTTGAATATCTAAAAAGAAATTATTTAATTTACTGTTTTATTTTACATTGCCATCATAATTTTTAATAATTTATAGATTAAAAAACAATATTTTGTTCATTTGAACGTTCAGAACTTATGGATCATTTGTCAAAATTTAAATTTATTTTATTCTTAGCCTCAATAAATCTACAAATGTCTATAAAAATTGATAATATTTTATGAAAATCATTGTTTTCAAGTCTATCAAGTCAGTTTAAGGGGAAATTTATTTTTTTTTTAAACACAATGAAAAAAATTTATTTGTTTCAAATATTCGGTTACTTTGACTATTATCAAATAAATATCTATTTGTATTAAATAATTATTATTTGAGTCAATTAAATGGTATTTGATTAAAATACGTCTCGAACACAATTTATTTGATTCAAATAATTCTCAGTTGATTCAAATAAATATTTTTTTGATAACAAATTGTAACTGATTATTTTAACTGAATAAATAAAAATAAAATAATAATAATAATGAAATAAAAATTTTGAATTAAAAATTAGTGTAACTTTATTTAAAATTAAGTATCTCCAGTGAAAACCATATAATATAAATTAAAAAAAACAAAGTAATAACATAAAAAATTAATAGAAATAATAAAATTTGTTTAATATACATTAAAAAAAATTTGTTAACTATTTCCCTGTTATTATAATTATTATTATTGTTATTTTTTTTTTTGTTGTAAACTTACGTGATGCATTTCTTGAACATCAACAGCTTCCATAGCCTCATCAGGTTCAGAACATTCGCCATGATATTGTTGAGGTAAATAGCGAACCATTGTCGTTGGTTGCATTTGATGATGATGATGGTGATGATGATGATGATTTCTTAGTTCATCAAATGAATGTGAACCATGTGGAAAGAATGGACTTTCTGCATGTCGTGGATCTAACATTAATTCATGAGTTGGTTCCCCATGAACCATCATATCTCCCATCCACACCATCCCCAATTCAGGTATGCCAGGGATGGTGGCTGCATAAACTGCAATTATTATAATTAAATTACAATTTTAAAAAATAATTTTCCTCCGAAATTTGTCACTGCTTTGGATAATTTACCATTTATTTTTGTAATATTTATTTATACAATAAATAAAAAAGTAAATTTGTTTTTTTTTAAACTCCAATTTAAAAATTTTTATATTACAGTCATTCATCTTTAAAAAGAAATAAAAAAAATTCATAAATCTATTCGAAGGTTATTATATAATTGTTTACAATATCTAATCAACCGGCATTAAATTTTAATTTCTCTTTAAAAGCAATTCATATTTTAAAAATAATAAATTTGTCAATAAAAAAAAATAGTAAATTTTGTTTTCATTCTATTAAAAACTAAACAATTGCATTTTTTAATATTAAATAATCAGCTTTTATAAGCAAGTCGAAAATTTTTTCATGCAAAATAAGTGAATTAAATTTCAGCTTCGCAAATGTAATTTCAAAACTAATCAAGTTATTGGACTAAAATGTGTATAATCGATTTTTCTTAAATAGAGAAAATTTGTAATTTAAATTTAATCAAAGGCGAGGAAATTGAAATTAAAAATTCAACAATAATCGACTTTGCCATGATTGAGTTATGCACATGAAACCGACGCCAGTCTTCAAAGAACTTGGTTTATTTAACCTTTTTTTCGTTTTATTTTATTTTTACTCATAACCAGTCACAAAAATTGTGCAATATAGTGATGAATATTTTCTTTTTGTGAAAAATTATTTTTCTTTTTGTTGATTAAAAACAATATGAGAAGGAGAATTAGAATGATAATAATAATTGTACGAACCATTGGGAGCCTGCATATCCATGACAAAGAGTCCCTATGTGAGTTTACTGTATAAATGCGTTCTGCAAGTATTACCGTAAACTATATTTTTCACGACTCGGATGTTCCATCTCGACCAATAAAAACAACATCATTTAGTAAAAATAAACACAATTTTCGTTCTTGCTTGCATACATTTTTCACAGAAAAAAAAAAATCACATAAAAAACATAATTTTTCTCGACATCACCGAACAATAGAGCAAAACATCAGCGGCAGGATGTACTTTTTCGCTTTTACCCCCACTATAATTATTTGTTAGTCTGCTCAAACCAAGAATATACTACAGAGATAGTGACATGTAGATGGAAAAATAGTTATGAAATTGAACTATAGAAATAGTCCGGGAACTATAGTTGGTGGGAGTATTGTTGTGATGACGTGAGTTTTTAAGCGAAAGATTGTTTCTAGAAATGGTCACCAGTAAAGGCGCTACGATCAAATATATACGATAGAAAAAGGCACACAATAATATTGTTCTTTTTTATCATATGTATTTCACGTCCATGTCAACGTCAACTTTATCCATTTTAGAAAAACTATTATAAAGGCGCTTGTACACCACATAAATTCTAAGTATACTCGTAATTTGTCAAAAGTTATACTAATTTTGATTGGCCTTGCTCATGGAGAATTTCCAAAAGATAGGAAAATTTCGAAATTCTCTATGAGCAAAGCCAATGTTATGTTCGTTTCAAGACTCTGAATATAGCCGCAAGTCCCCCCTCTCCCCTCCCCGGCCAAAAATGACCTAAATTTTGAGGTTATGTTTGTTTCAAGACTCTGAATAGAGCTGCAAGTCCTTCCCTCTCCCCTTCATCTCTCCGTATTTCCTACCAAAAATGACCTAAATTTTGAGATTATATTCGTTTCAAGACTCTGAATATATCCGCAAGTCCCCCCCTCTCCCCAACCAGTACCCCTGCCCCTGCCCTCGCAAAAAATGACCTGAATTTAGAGGTTATGTTCGTTTCAAGACTCTGAATATAGTCGCAAGCCCCCCTTTCTTACGTTGAGAGGGAGGTGGATTTTCCGCTAAAATTGACCTGAATTTTGAGGTTATGTTATTTTGGCGAGAAACGACCTAGAAACAAACGTAACCTCAAAATTTAGGCCAAAAATTTGTCGCAAAAAGTCCAAGAAACAAAAATAACATTAAAAGTTAGGTTAAACTTTGATGAAAAATTAAAAAAATTAAATAAATTTTGTTTTAAAAATTAAAAATAATAAAAATTATTATTAATAAAAATCATAAATAACATTTAAAAAAACAAATAATAAAATATTAATAATAGTTTTAAATTTCAGAAATTGTCCAAACATAAACTTAAAATAGGTAAGGTAAGGTAAGGTTAGGTAATTTTTGAGGTTATGTTCGTTTCTTGGTTAAGGGGAATTTAAGGTTATGTTTGTCGAACATATTCTTGACATATTTATATTTATAAATAAAATATATTATAATGATATTTTATATTTATGTTAATATTATAATATTATATTTGATTAATTAAAATTTATAATAATAGGATAAAATTTCAGAAAAAATAACATTTTAATTAAAAACAATTGTTGATTTGATACAATATTATTTTTAAAAAATGACAGAAATAAATACAAATATACGATTATTTATTATTTACTGTTAAAAAAAAAATTTCTTATAAAAATCATAAAGGTGGATCTAAATCCAAAATAAGCGTAATAATAATTAATAGTTTTAATAAAAAAAAATTTTTTAAAATCATGGTTTTACGTAATATTACATTAAAAAATGTAAATTACGTAAGTACACCGCGTTTATGTTTTGATACTTTCCCTTCGTTCCTACTCAACCCTGTACTAAATTTGTCGCCATTGATTGGTGCTTACATAAGACATGAATGTTATTCCATTGGTTACCTTCGATTGGATCATTTCTCTTATTGGTCAATTTTTATTAGAATAAAATCTTTAAACTGATTTTAAGAGATGACATTACCAACCTTTCCCTTTGGCCTTTTGGGAAGAGCATATGTCCCCTTGGTGGTGGTAATAATTTTGGGATCCATTTCGTATTGTAAATTTTTTGGGACATTCTTGTTTCGGTTACTCGCTACAAATGTCGAATAAAGTTAAAATTAGTAGCTGGTCCACTATGAAAATTTAATTTGACATCGTTAGCGAATATTTCGAATGTGTCTATCTAGTCATTTTTCGACACTATTTTTGAGGAGCGATTTATCTCTATTTAACTTGTGCAAAAAAGAAGAATCAATTGTCCCATCGTTTTGTCTGGCTGATTTTTGTGATCCAGTCACCGAAAACTTCCATCATTCCGTCAATAACCGAGTGCCAACCCGCAGGGTGGCAATCATTTGATAAGGTATGCAAATTATCACATGTATTTATTAATAAATTAAATTTCTATCACTTTATATGGTTCTTTCTGTTACCATACTCATATTTGTTTTTTTTTCATGTCGTAAATATATTTATCGTTAAAAATTAATAAGTATATCTAATATTTAAAAACAAAAAATTTATTTTATTTTTATTGTGCAAAAATTAATATCACATTTTATATTTGCTAGTTTTATGGAATTCAGGAATAAAATTGCCTGTATATTTAATTTCAATTTGCAAATAGTTTCACATTAAACTAACGATTTTTCAGTCATTGAAAACGTGATTCATGATTCTCATTCTCAAGGTTATTTTTTCAGAAAACTAGATATGTATTTCAAACTCGTTTTCAAAAAAAAAAAAAAAAAAAAAATCTAATTTAAAATTAGTAAAAATTTAGAGGAAGTTAAGTCAATTTAACAAACAGAAAAATGTGATATTAAATTCTTCGGCAAAAAATTCGGTTATAAATTTAGTATAGTGAAAAATTGAATTTAAATATTTAATTCCATTACAAATTCAAATCCATGTTCCTAAAGTTCTGAACGTTCAAATCGGAAATAATTTTTTAAATACTATACATAAATGAAAAATAAAAAAAATACATTAAATATATTTAAAAAATTATTTATTCTTAAATATAAATATATTTTATTATAAAATTTGAAGTTAGAAATATAAACAAATTTTTTAATTATTTTTTTTCAATTTAATTTCAATTGCAACGTCCATGAATTTCATTTCTTGGAAATAAAATTTAAACAATGTCCGATGCCGCACATTAAGACATGTTTTGACTGCATGTTCTCATCATGTCTTGGATTACAATTTCAAAACATTAAACAAAACAAAATCATAACATAATGAGATTAAAGTACATACATTTTAAAATAAATTTAAATCTCATGCGATAAAGAATTTTTTTTTTGATTAAATTAAAAAAATTTTAACAATTAAATATTGCATCATATTTATGTTGGTTGAAGTTTGCAACGTTTATGATCAACGATTGAAAAAAAAAAATATTTTTCACTCAAAAAATAACTAATTTTGTGCCTACAATTTTTTTTTAAATTATTGATCAAGAAACGTTGCAAAAAAAATTTTTCGATAAATAAATAAATAATTTGCATAGAAAAATATTTTCTCTTCTCAATCGTTGATCATAAATGTTGTGAACTTCACCGACGTTCATATTTGTTAGTTTATTAAAATTCTATGAGTCATGAAAAATTAATATATATTACAGTTCCTTTAAATACATATTTAAATAGTTAATCATCAAATAATTTCTATCTGATAAATGTAATATTAAATTCAAACTAAAATGTATTTCATCATCACAATCTTCCCCAATGATTAATATAAATACCGATTTAATAATTAATTAAAAAATTGTAATAATAGTATTTTTTTTTCTAATTAAAAATTGATCAGCACTTGACAAATCTGGAACACTCATCATATAATTATCTTAATAATCATTTCATTCATGTCTTGGAAATGTTTCTTATCATAAAATACACCTTGTGAATATTTCCACTTATCTCATTTCACATAAAGGACAGCATATTTTATATCCTCAAATTAAAAAAACAAAATTTTTTTGATTTTATTACAATTATAGTAAAAAAAAATGTTGAGTTCAATGTACAATGTTAATTGCGGAAGAATCTCATTTTGAGATTATATTGGACTTGATTTTTTTTTTTTTGAAAATTTATGTATTTTCTAACAATATATAAATGTGGGTGTTCGTTTGAACAATGTTTAATTGATAAGGCACATGACCAACGCCTGTCATGTTTTATTATTGAAAGCTGAGATAATAATCTATACTTTGGATCGTATGTGAACAACTTTCACAAAACATAGATCTTTTTTTTTTATTTTTTTATTTTTTTTATCAAACAGATTCCTCCAGAACAGATATCTAAAGAAAAGCAGATGACTGCGATCAGACTTTAATAGAAATTTAATGTTACTGTTATTTTAAGAATTTTTGATAATTAACAATATTTGTAGATGTAAAGAAAATAATTATCAAAATTTTATAAAAGCATTTACAAAGTAAAAGTATTTTCAAGTCGTGGAAAATAGTGTAAAAAGGGAAATTTCCATATAAGAAATACTAATCTTTAATATAAACTTTTATGAAATTTTCTATAGTTATATAATAAAATTCGGTAGAACGTATTTGATATTAAATGATACTAAATTTTTATTATATCTATAGTAAATTTCATAAAAGTTTATTAACGATTTTTTATATGGAAATTTCGCTTTTTACACTATTTTTCACGACTTGAAAATACTTTTACAAAATTTGTAAATACTTTTATAAAATTTGATAATTATTTTCTTTTTGTGTACAAACAAAACAGAGTTTCTCGTTTTTAGTTGTATTAAATTATTTAGTATTCTTTTTTAAATTATTTATTTATTATTAAAATTAATTTTTGGTAAAAAAAAATTTTTAGTAAATAAAAATTAAATAAAGTTACAATAATTTTGTTTGATAATTTTACATTTGGATTTAATTAAACATTTAAAAAGTAGGTAATTAGAAAATTAATAAAATGAATGACAAATTTTACATTTTGATTTCATTTCGATATATACAGCCCAATGAAAAGCTAATTGGTTTCCTATCGAGCTGCGTATATATATATACACACATAAAGCTCGACAATATTAATCGATTTCCATTTGATTGCTACGATATAGGAGTTTTATTTCCGGTTCATATGCATTTGTAGATGGCACTAGATTTTGCATCTAATTTCCTCAGAGTAAATTAAAACTTCATATAAGATAGAGATAGAGATAGAGGAATAAAATATATATTTTTTTAATATAAACCTAAATACCAATGTTGAATATATAATTTTTATAAATTAAAAAAATTTTTTGTTTTTTTTTTTCATAATAAGAATGAGAAAAAAATCGTTTCAAAAACACATAATTAAAAAATGTAATTATTGATAAAAAAAAATAATTCATATACCACTAGAATAATTTACAAAATGCTATTATAAAAAATTTGGTTTCATTAAAATATTACCGAGTTAATTAGATATAAATGAAAAAATTTTCCAAGAATGTGTAAATAACTCTAACTTGTTATAAAAAAAAAAAAAAAAAACAAATAAACCTTTATTCCAAATGAGTTTTTTATTCATAAATTACATTAAAGCAAGGCAAAGTAAAAAATCATATGATGTAAAAATCTTTGTGATTTTCAAAATACAATTAATGAAAAAATTATATGTAATTTATTCTTTTTTTTAGTAAACTGTTATATAAATAAAATTATTATTATTATTGTAAAATAATTTTTTCCGAATATTCTGGATAAATAATTTTATTAAATAACTATCGTACATATTATTTTTTATTATATTATAAAATTATATTATTATTGTACAATTAATTATTTTAAATTATTATATTTTTATATTTTATTTATAATGTTAATAAAATGTTGAATTCTTTAAATTAGAAAAATAAGATCAGATTCTTTATCAATGATAAAATATATAATATTTAAAAAAAAAGTAAATTTTATCACAAGAATTATAAAATAATTGTCAATATCGCAAAATTCTTTAATATTTTTAGGATGTCTATTTATTAACATTTCGTTCTTCAAATTATTCAGTTATTTCCGGTTTAAGGTCATGTGATTGTTGTGATTCTACATGTAAATGATAAATTTAGAATTTTCATTTTATTAGAAAATATAAATTTAGAAGAAAAAAAATTGTCCATTATTTTTTTTTATGTTCAAATTTGCAAATCCATATTTTTTTGAAATTTCATTTCAGTAAAATTTCTATTTTCTCAAAAAATTCATAATTTTTCTATTTTTGCTTCCTCGTGGAGGAAGCTTTGTAGTACTTTCGTTTATAAAACTTTTCAAAGTGGCGGAAACAAATTTTTTTCTTTATAGAAACATGTTATATGAGATCCTGATCAATTTTCCGGATGTATGTATGTGTGTGTGTGTGTGTGGATCCCTTTTTTGTTTAGAAGATAACTTTAACAGGTTTTAATGGATTTAGATAAAATTTGGTAGGCTTATTTATCGTATTAATATCTCAAATCTGACCAAAGGATTTTGAAAAATACCCAAAAAAAAAAATGTTATCGTCTTTTTTCCAAAAATTTTTTTTTAATCGAAAAAATTTTTAAATAGAAAAATTTAAGGTTATATTTAATAAAATCGTATTCCTTACGTCAAGATGAATCGATCGATATATATAAAGTATACATTTGAGGTAAATTAAAAGAATTAATGAAAGTTAAAAAATCAAAAATCCACATTTTAGCAATAAAATTTTGCTTTCTCCACGAGGAAGCAAATTTTTTTGCTGATCGTAAAGAGGAAGCAAAATATTCATGTAATGAACATCTGAATTTATAACTGGTTTTCCTAGTTGACATTCAAATTGTTTGTTACAATTAGTTTTTCATTTTCATAAATATCATTTTAAAATTTATTATAATTTTATTTTTTTCCCGATAAACCAAAAGTTTTACGTACATGCGTGTATTATTTTTTTAAATTTTCTGATAAGCTTAAATATATTTCTGTTCGTATTGAAATATTCATTTGTCAACATATTCATTGCTTTTAAGTTTCGTTTATGCAAAATTATTTTAGACAACCTGCAATGCTAATTTTTTGATAACAAAAAAAAAAAAAAAAAAAAAATGGAACATTTAAGAAATGAAAATTTAAACTTATGAATATTTGAACAAATGGACAGTATATATTTTAAAATTAAAAATTTGTCACTTAGACAAAAAAAATACTATGTTAAAATATGTTTATGAAAAGAGGTATATAGAAAAAAATTTAATATTTCAAAGCACAAAAACATATATATATATTGTAAAGAAATATTTGAAAAATTAAAAATTTAATTAAATAAATAAAAATTTGTTAATAATTTAATTTTTGATTCAAAAATTATA